GCCATAGAGTCATACTTGAGACTTGAGTGTCGTTGAATCATCTCGGTCTGGAATTTGGTCGGTGTGCTTTCTGTCACCAGCAAACATTACTGAGCGGTTCAAATGCATTTCTGGGCTTCAAAGTCGGCAAATTGCTGATTAAACCCGGTGCTGAGTAAGAGGAGCATTTTCAGTTTGTCCGATGCCGAGGACGCTACCGCTGCAGACGCTGATGCTAGTAGCATGGATGCTACACTACCGCTGCAGACGCTGATGCTAGTAGCATGGACGCTACACTACCGCTGCAGACGCTGATACGAGTAGCATGGATGCTACACTACCGCTGCAGACGCTGATGCTAGTAGCATGGATGCTACACTACCGCTGCAGACGCTGATGCTAGTAGCATGGATGCTACACTACCGCTGCAGACGCTGATGCTAGTAGCATGGATGCTACACTACCGCTGCAGATGCTGATACGAGTAGCATGGATGCTACACTACCGCTGCAGACGCTGATGCTAGTAGAATGGATGCTACACTACCGCTGCAGACGCTGATGCTAGTAGCATGGATGCTACACTACCGCTGCAGACGCTGATGCTAGTAGCATGGATGCTACACTACCGCTGCAGACGCTGATGCTAGTAGCATGGATGCTACACTACCGCTGCAGATGCTGATACGAGTAGCATGGATGCTACACTACCGCTGCAGACGCTGATGCTAGTAGCATGGATGCTACACTACCGCTGCAGACGCTGATACGAGTAGCATGGATGCTACACTACCGCTGCAGACGCTGATGCTAGTAGCATGGATGCTACACTACCGCTGCAGACGCTGATGCTAGTAGCATGGATGCTACACTACCGCTGCAGACGCTGATACGAGTAGCAGGGGCGCTAATGACTGTAAAGATACCGGTTTTTCTCCTTGAAGCCTAAACGTGTTCCATCTTTGTTGAAACACCTTCCTTCAGCATCGATCTTTCTCTTCCTGGACATTTTGCGATGATGTGTGGAGTTATTTTCACTTGTTGCATTAAGTAAACACGAATTTGGAAACATTGCAACCTAGTGGCTAAATACTGCCACTGCAATGGGAACACCATCGCCAAGCATTATGGGAAATGTAGTTTATAGTCAATGTATACTTTGAAGCAGCATAGACCTATTTTAAGACACTTGAAGCTCTCGCCGGCCACATAAAATGATGTGGCGGGCCACATCTGGCCCGCGGGCTTTATGTCTGACACGTGATCTAAAGTATGTAAGACACTGTCCAAAGTAGACGATTTAATAGCAATTCCTATAGAAAAATGGGAGGTGGATCTGTCAGTCAGCTTTGACCTGAATTCCTGGTCTCAAACTTTTTAAAAACCTTTAAAATGACCAGAAACCCCAATTTACAATTAATTTAATACAAAATTCTGCACAGAGTACACTACACAGGTCACCGGGATGGGGTTTGTGTCGTCTGTCACCTGTACACACTGCACAGACAACAATCCTGACAGTTATATCCACACGCTGTGGTCCTGTCCAGGGATCCTGGGGTAGAGTATGTGAAGACCTGTCAAGGTGTCTGAAATGTGGCATCTCCCTCATTTTGTTTACTGGGAAACCTGGACGAGGTCCAGATAGAAACCAGTTTGGTTCATGTGGTTCTGACTGCCATATGCATCACAAAGAAAACGATCCTCATAAACTGAAAAAATAAAGGTAATCTTTTCATTAACCAGTATAAAATACTTTGTTAGATCATATTACACCTGAGACAGCTTCTGCCTGTCTGGGCTCCTTTGATCGGGTCCATCACATAGCGATGATGGAGGGTCATTGACATTGTCCCACGCCATGCTGGAGAGGGATGGGTCGTAAACATCTGGTGTGCTTCTGGGTTCTCCGGCCATGAACACAGTTTATGTCTTTGCTGGTTGATAGTTGAACTGGAATAGGGAAACTTTTGGGTTTGTCAGCAGAAGACAACATTTTGGGAATTGTGACCTTTGGAAGACACACAGAAGACTGTTGCATCGTGGGAGGACTGTAGGGAGTGATGTTATTTGGAGTGGTGGTGTGAGAGATGGCTGAAGAAGGTGAAGATGGCTGGGATGTTAACAGTCATGTCTGTGGAAGAGAATCCACCATAGATGTATATCTGTGGGACTGCACAGCATACCGATGTTAGCGATTAGCTTGAGCCATGTCGGTTAGGAGGAACGTTCCAAAACGGGTTAAAATTATCGATGAAACTAAAACGTCCATATCCATGAGAAACTGGGGATCGGGCCGGAAAACAGACATTCTGCTGCTCTTCAGAACGTCAGACAGATGTTAACGTGCTGTTGAGTGATGACAGACTCCCGGCGTGTAACATCGTTCGATCCCACATGAATGATCCCTCTAACTGAAGCTGGGATGGAGCTCAGCAGACCAGGAAGTTTATCCAGGAGAGCAGGTATGGTGGCTGATGGAAAACATCTCGTCATGACGATGAAAAAGCGGACATTCCTGATGGTTGAATCATCTACCAGCAAAGTGGTCGGTGAAAACCGTGGACGGGGTGTAGAGGGCTCCTGATTTGTGTTCCTGTGGATCAGTGGAGGATTCTGGGTTTGGGTTCCTGTGGAGTAGTGGAGGATTCTGGGTTTGGGTTCCTGTGGAGTAGTGGAGGATTCTGGGTTTGGGTTCCTGTGGTGTCGGGGAACTGGAGGGTTTGAGGTGGAGGAGCTCACCTCCTGAGCCAGGGCAGGTGGTCCAGCGGAGTGTCGACACACAGCATCCTTCAGTATTCTGCGTTGGGCATCAGAGGCTGAGGTCTGGGAAGGGAGGGGACTGTGGAGGTTGCTTCTTACGGACTACAGGCTCCTGCTGGATGTCGTCAGCTGGTAGAGAGGGAGCCTGGAGGTATCAGCTGGTTGTTCCTCAGCAAGTGGAGAGAAGCGGTTAGGAAGACTGAGGTCAGGTGTGTGTGTGTGTGGGGGGGGGGGGGGGGGGGGGGGGGGGGGGCTCTCCTACGGCCACATACCACAACCTGTGACTAAGATAAAAAAGGGTCAGGAGTAGAGCTGGGCTGAGGCACCCCTAAAGTTAGACATTTATTACCGTAAATCCTCTAATAGAGGCCCGGGCCTGTATTTGACTCAAGCTCATCAAGCTCCAGGCCTTTATTGGAAGGAGGGCCAGTATTAGAGGCAGGCCTCTATTTCTATTTGAGCAAAATGAACTAATGGTTCGCTGGAGTTTTTGACAATTAAAATTACGCCCACATTTTCAAAGTTAAACACATTTCTTTTAACAACGCTAGTTTCTGCTTCAGCCCTCTCCCCCCTCCCCCTGCTTCAGCCCTCTCCCCCCTCCCCCTGCACTGATGCGCCTGCAGCCTCTCGGAGTTCCTGCTGCTCTAAACATTAAAATAATTATTTCATTTTCTGTTCTTCACTTCTGATTACCTTCAATGGTGTCTGTTTGTTGCAACCAGCAGGTACAAAAACTAACTTGTTTTTATTTGACTATTTTTCTGTCCTGTCTGTTTATTATCTTCCTGCATCTCCTCTCAATCCTAAAGAGAAACTGCTACCTGGGTTCATATATATTCACCTCATGAGTTACCTTTGAACTGCAGTTCTAAAAGATCCACCGACCGCTAAAACAGCGGAGTGCTCGCTGCTTGCCGGCCGCATCAGTGATCGGTGCGTCGGAGGACAAAACAGGTGATGCGCGCAGCGCCCCGCTCCACAGCATGCAGCGAAACGCATCAGGCGCAAAATAAAAGACAGAAAACATTAAAGGAAATGAACCGACATGAACGATCGCGTGTCAGTACCTACGGTCTGGCACAGCACGTTCCCCCCCCCCCCCCCCCCCCAACAGGAGCTTGTCACCTGCTGACAGCAGGCTGTTGTCTTTTCCGAGGGCTGCATCTTGCCGGTCATTATCACGTGACAGCGACTAGTCGATGACAGGCATAAAAAGTCACTATAGTGAAGTCGACTAGTTCATACACCCCCTACTGCTGCTCTCCAGAGTGTTCTGCAGCATAATCAGCACGTTCTCTTTGAACTTGATAGTGTAATGACCTGGCTGGGGTTGTAAGCCAGGTGCATTCTGGGTATTGTGTTATATGTGTTTCCTATCGTTCTGCTAGTTCCTATGTGCTGATTTGCGTGTTGTGTGAGTGTTATGTAAGCCACAGGGAAGGTGATGTGTGTTCTGTGGAGCGGGTTGAATTAGCATGGTTAACTGACACCGTGACTCTGTGTGGTAGGAGCGTGATAGAGGATCGTGTCTGTAGCGTTACAAAGCGTTGAAGAAAAAGCCTAATAAAGGTCTGCGTGAACCTCTACTGCCTCCTGCTGGTTGATTTGGGGACTATAACCCTGCCGCTGAGACGCTTGTACTTGCTTGTTACCACATTCCACCCGGCCACAATAAGAGACCGGCCATTATTCACCTCCACTGATTCCGACACCGGCCAAAATTGGAGACCCGGCCTTTAATTGAATATCGGCCTATATTAGAGGATTTACGGTAAATTATCTATTTATTTTTACTGTTGGTGGTGATTTTTAACACATTAGTAATATCTGAAAACCATACAATAGGTCAAAATGTTATATTTTATAAAGAGAAATACAGCAAATCTCCCCTGTCTCAAAAATGGTTTGATCCTGCCCGCCTTCCCAGACTCTGATGCTCTGAGCCTTCCTGATTGGCTGATTTGCTGCCGTTAGGGTGACCAGGGTTCCGGCAGTAGCTCAGGGGGCAGAAGGTTGGAGATCAATCGTGACTCCCTGCAGGGAACTCTGCAGTTGTGTCCTTAAGCAAGACCCTGGTGGTGGTCGGAGGAACTGGTGGCCTCTGTTACCATGCCCCAGGGCAGCTGTGGCTGCGTTGTAGCTCATCACCATCAGTGGGTGAATGGATGAATGACTTGTGTTAAACACTTTTGAGTAGCTAACTTAGGAAAGCTAAACAAGTGCAGCCATTTACCATTTACCATGTTTGTGTTGCAGCTGACTGTTGCCGTGCAACAGGATGAATGGATACGAAGCTTCGCCGCTCACCGCCGGTGCCTTTGGCTCCTACATCAAGTGAGTTTTTCACCGGATCAAGAGGAAGTTTAGATCCAACTCCTGTTCTGTTCAGTTGTCTCGTTTAATCTGCTGATAATAAAATGTGTAAGTGACTGAAGAACAGATTCTGGACCTTTAAAGGTGCGGAAATAAAAACTCTGCATGGGAAATAATAATAAAACAGTGATGTCAGATAGAGCTAGAGGCTAACGTTGAGCTAACGTTGCTAACAGCAAAATGTAAGCTCTAAAAATATCTCAGGCTACTTTTTAAACTACCTACACGGACTTCCATTTATTTAGGACATAATTGCTTTTTATTGCATACGAAGCCGCGCTCATTAGGTTTTTTTTAAGAAGCTGCTCCTAAAGGTGTCCCCATCGACGTATATAAATATGGACATAGCCCGACCATTGCTCCGCGGGGGGCAAGTTGAAGCCACGAATGGGACGTTCCCACCACTGGGAAAAGAGGTGGAGCTGAGGGTGGGGCTGTTACGTTTATAACAGGGTTGGAACAAATGTAGCTACTAGCTAACTTAGCTAACCCAAGAAGCTAAGAAGGGCTCCAGGAAGCGGGGTAGCCCGCTCGCACGGCCGACTGGCTCCCATGCGAGGCTGTAGTCATGCTGGTCACCTGTGGAGATGTAATATGGACTGGGACTGTTAAATTACAAGTGGAGCCAGACCGCTGTGACCGGGAGTACTGGCCTTTTGGGTCAGCTCATTCTCCACAGACTGAGACCAGCGGAACATTAGCTACATGCTAACCAAAGCCAACGGAGTTTTCCTGGCGTTTTTAGCGTTAACGTGTTTTTCTTGCTAAAAATACCTGGAAAAACATTGTTAGCTTCGGGTTAGCATGTAGGTAATGTCCCGCTGATCTCCAGCGGTGGAAAATGAGCGGATCCACAAGGCCAGGGCTCCCATTCGTGTCGTTTGGAATTGTAGAATGTCTAACGAAGGTTCTGTCGTTCTCGCCTCATTGTTATAGCGCCAAGTTCACATTTTCTTTACAAAACTCCCCAAAAACAGCTTCTGTTGGTGCTGATGGCTGGAGAACAGTCTGCACTTAGCATGGGAAGACGGTTTGCTGCTAAATGAAATAGCCAACCGTAGTTAAAGGAGAGAAAGCTGGGATCTTCCTTGGACATACTACGATCCCGGTCGCAGCGGTCTGGCTCAACACGTTATATTTCAACCCTGTCCGCGCGTCGGCTTCCACCGGAAAACGGGAACAGCCAGCCGTCTGCTCTAGCAACTGGTTTCAGGCAGGAGGCAGAAGACGGACACCCGCTCAAGGTTCTCATCCAGCAGCAGCCCCACCAACATGTCTGACACAGCTCTCTTCTGCTGCCAGTGGATAAGGGTGGAACTGCTGCTTTAGCCTCTTCCCAGAACCGACTAACGGGGGCTGGGGTGTCCCCCACAGGCCCCGGGCACCCGCTGGTGCTCTGTCCTCCAGCCCTAATGGAGAAAAGCTCCAGGAGCGCTGCATTGCTCCAGATTTTCATCTCAGCTGATTCTGTTTACAAAAGCTAAACTTTTTGCTCGTGTTTACGTTCATTTTAGATAAAGTTGCCAGCCGGAGCTCGGCAGCAACTCCCCACATGATCCGACATCTCGCCGTGTATAAGCCAGACAATTACTGCAGTATTACTACCAAATGCTCTAGATTGTCGCATCGCCGTGCTGCGTTTATAAGACACACCATGGCGGTAATATTGTACCGATTTGCCGGCACAGCGTCTTGTAAAAAGGGCCGGTGTGACGTAGATCTGTCTAATCCTAGAGTTTCATCGTCTGTTTCCCATCAGAAGCTCTGATGCAGGAGATAGGTGTAGGAGACTATTCTCATGTTCAGCCTGCATGAAACACTCAGAGTGACCCGTTGGAATCAGAGATAATCATTCGGAATAGTTTTCCAGGGTTCCACGCCTTTAAAAATGACCTGCATGGTCAGCTGGTCTGGGATCAGCGGACCGTGCAGAACAGAGAGACCCTGATCAGAGCTTCCTGTCTAATGAACGCTGTTTCCTGGTTCCAGTGGACGCAGCTCACCATCGCCAGAGCCTCCCAGAAGCAAAGCCAAGAGCGGTGCCAAAGCTCTACATGGTGAGTTCTGGTTCTGGTTCTCTGGGCTGTAGAACGTGAACTGAGGTCTGTCTTCTGGTTCTGTTACTTCTCACTTTTCAACAGGGTCAGACGAGTCGTACTTTTTGCGTTCGTCTTCCAAACAGAAACGGAAAAGTCAAAGTGAGCCCAGAGTTTTGGTGTGGTTCTTCATCAAACCGGGTCGGATTTGGTTCTTTTGGACTTTTAAAGTTTGGCTTTGAACCAAATTCAATGTTTCTCAATCCTTCAAAGTTGATTAGAACAGAACAAAAGTCCAAATATTCCAGAACCGACCTACTGGTTACCGGTCTGTGTGCGGACTGCTGTACATTCTGCTGAGTGAGTCTGGGTTCTGTACATCAGTCATACACCTGAGGCTGTGCTGCCATGACCTTTGACCTGTGGCAGGTATGGTTCTGAGTCAACAAGCTTCCAACCCAAAGGTCCAGTCTGTCTTCTGGGCCAGAGCCAGGAGCTCTGACTGAGCTGTTCTCGTACACGGTGAGGTGAACTCCGTTGGTTCTGTGGGAGGGTCAGCAGCTTAGAGGAGATGTATTAAAGGCAGTTCTGAGGCTGCAGGTCCAGTTACCCTGTTGGCCGCAGGTTCTGAGGGTTCTGGAGTGTTCCTGAGCATGCAGCTGAAACCAGGAGTTTCCAAACACCAAACAAAAAAAAACACTTTTTTCTCACCGTCGGAAGTAAAATCCAAACAAACTTCTTTGGTCTTTGGGTTCGTTAAACTTCACCAAAATATTCCCATCCATCTTCTCATCCATCCTTCCGCTTATCCAGAGTCGGGTCACGGGGGCAGCAGCCTAAGGTCAGAGACCCAGACTTCCCTCTCCCCAGCCACTTGGGCCAGCTCCTCCGGGGGAATCCCAAGGCGTTCCCTGGCCAGGTGAGAGACATAGTCCCTCCAGCGTGTCCTGGGTCTACCTTTAGGTCTCCTCCCGGTTGGACGTGCCCGGTAAACCTCACCAGGGAGGCATCCAGGAGGCATCCTGACCAGATGCCCGAGCCACCTCAGCTGGCTCCTCTCGATGTGGAGGAGCAGCGGGTCTACTCCGAGCCCCTCCTGGATGACCGAGCTTCTCACCCTATCTCTAAGGGAGAGCCCAGACACTCTTCGGAGGAACCTCATTTCAGCCGCTCGTACCCGTGATCTCGTTCTTTCGGTCACTACCCAAAGCTCATGACCATAGGTGAGGGTAGGAACGTAGATCGACCGGTAAATCGAGAGCTTCGTCTTCTGACTCAGCTCTCTCTTCACCACGACAGACCGGTACAACGCCCGCATCGCTGCAGATGCAGCACCAATCCACCTATCGATCTCACGCTCCAGTTTTCCCTCACTCGTGAACAAGACCCCGAGATACTTAAACTCCTCCACTTGGGGCAGATCTGTTGTTCTGAATCAGGTCTCAAGTCAACAACCAGCAAGTACTCAAGTATAAGTACTTTTACTCAGTTTGTGTATCAGTTTATGTAGTACTGTGTACTACACTCGCACTCGGATACCAGGGATCAGGCGCATCAGCAGGACTTTTTCCGACTCAAGACCATGGTCTCGGATTTAGAGGAGCGGATTCTCATCCCAGCTGCTTCACACTCGGCTGTGAACCGCTCCAGTGATCACGTTCTGATGAAGCCAGCAGGACCACATCTGCTAAACACATAGACCTAACCCTAACCCTAACCCTAATCCTAAACGGATCCCCTCAGCGCCTTGGCTGTGCCTGGAGATCATTTCCTAATGTAACCCTGCCCTGCGATACATCACAGAGCAGGAAGAAAGCTAGCCGGACAACCCTCCGATATATGTGAGTCTATGGTCTGGCCACGACCCATAGACCGTGCTCAGTTGTGGGGCGGGATCTATGGTTGTCTTTGACGCCGTCATGCATGCTATTGGACAATGAACAGCACTCACCACTACGATGCCAGTCAAGAGGGCAGTCTGCCACACTCTGTGGAAGAAGACGCGTAAACATCTGTGTTTTCTAGTATTTTAGCTTCTTCTGGCTTTATTTTCTGTTTCAGTTGAGTTTTAGCTAAGTACTGAACCTTTTTGATCGACATCTAGTGAATAATGTGCGTCTGTCTTCATCAGTGTTGGGAGTAACGCGATACAGAAGTAATTAGTTACTGTCATGCATTGCTTTTTGCTGTAATGTGGTAATGTAAGGCATTACAGGGAAAGTAAATGGTAATATTTACCAGAGGTGTGGACTTATGGAGTTATCTGACCCGAGTCATTATTTTAACGACTTCTGACTTGACTTGATCTATAAAGACGTACGACTTAACTCGTACTTGAACACCAATGACGTGCAACTTGAATCGACTTGCATCTTGACTTGATGATGACTTGAGCGTATTTGATATTTTAGCACAAAAGTGGCCCGACATGGGCAAACATCATAAACCATTCTTGGCTCTGGGTTTGATTTGGTGCTAAATGCAGCAGCACGTTGTTTATAACCAGTTTCTGCTGTTTGAGCAAATAAAGGAAGCTTTAAGAAGATTTAATTCTGGAATTTGACGTTGGACAGATGATTTAATTATGACTTGAAAAATCAAAGTTAAGAACTTGGACTTGACTTGGACTTCCACATCACTGACTTTGGACTCATCTTGGTTGTCTTTGACTTGGACTTGACTCGAGACTTGACTGAAAATTTCAATTCAATTCAAGTTTAATTCCATAGCGCCAAATTGCCAAGTCATCTCGAGGCACGGCATTTACAATTGCTGTGTACTCTTAGTGATGTCTTGTGGGCTACTGCGGCTATCCTGCTGTACCTAACCCTAACCCTAACCCTAACCCTGGGCCTTTGCAATAATGCAGTTTCCCCACTGAGGGACAAATAAAGCTATTCTGAAATAAAGAAGGACTTGAGTCCCTCTGTCTGCTCTTGACTCAAAGAAAGTCTAAGTAGTCCATGTTGGGGTTAGCGGTTTCCATCCTGTCTGTGCGCGTGTCACGGTGGTGAGAAGAAATGTAACGAGCAAGGCGTTGGCCATGTTTATGGGAACCATTTAAGTGTGAATTATAGTTATGGGACAGCAGCAGCTCAGGAGGTAGAGAGGGGTGTCCAGTAATCGGAAGGTTGCAGGTTTGATCCCGGCGCCGACCACAGAATGCTGCTGTTGTGTCCTTGGGCAAGACACTTAACCCGCCTTGCTGCTGGTGGTGGTCGGAGAGACCGGTTGTGTCTGTTTGGCAGTCCTCGACCCTGTCAGCACGCTCCAGGGCAGCTGTGGCTACATCGTAGCTCATTCTCACCAGTGTGTGAATGACTGATTGTGTTGTAAAGCGCCTTGGGGGGTTGTAGAACCCTAAGAAGATGCTACCATAATATCACCAATCCAGTTATTGGATCAATAGTCTAAAGTTGATGCCAAAGCCGTTTCAGTCGAACCAACTTAGTGTTTCCGCTCAGTTTCATCATCCGACCTACCAAACCAAACAAGCGCTGCGATTGGCATAACACAAAACCGCTCCGGCCAATGGTAGACACACACACACACACACACACACACACACACACACACACACACACACACACACACACACACACACACACACACACACACACACACACACACACACACACACACACACACACACACACACACACACACTCACACACACACACACACACACACTCACACACACACACACACACACACACACGCACGCACACACACACGCACACACACACGCACACACACACGCACACACACACACACACACACACTCACACACACACTCACACACACACACACACACACACACACACACACACACACACACACTCACACACACACACACACACACACACACACACACACACGCACGCACACACACACGCACACACACACACACACACACACGCACGCACACACGCACGCACACACGCACGCACGCACGCACGCACGCACACACACACGCACACACACACGCACACACACACGCACACACACACACACACACACACTCACACACACACTCACACACACACACACACACACACACACACACACACACACACACACACACACACACACACACACACACACACACACACACACACACACACACACACACACACACTCACACACACACTCACACACACACACACACACACACACTCACACACACACACACGCACGCACACACACACGCACACACACACGCACACACACACGCACACACACACACACACACACACTCACACACACACTCACACACACACACACACACACACACACACACACACACACACACACACACACACACACACACACACACACACACACACACACACACACACACACACACACACACACACACTCACACACACACACACACACACACACACACACACACACACACACACACTCACACACACACACACACACACACACACGCACGCACGCACGCACGCACACACACACACACACACACACACACACACACACACACACACACACACACACACACACAGACAAACACACACACCATAGATGGTAAAAGGCTAGTCCATCCCTGCCACCCATGCACCACTGCCTATCCATCAGGTGGTTGGCACTAGTTTGAAGAAGCAATGCATCTGATCCCCCCCCCCCCTAGGAACTGGTGGAGGTTTAACAAACAGCCCATCACATTCTGGCTTGGTTTCTGAGAGCTCCTGTTCCTCTCACAGACAAGAGTCCGTTTCTGGGTTCTAGGTGTTATTTAAGGTGCAGACTAGATAAGAAACAAATGACTTCTCAGCTGTGGAGGTTCAACTCCCTGCTAGCTACACGGAGAGACTGGGTGTTAGTGTTTACAGTCCAGGGGAGGCTGGCTCGGGACTCACAACCACCTGGATGAGGAGGAGCAGGTTGTAGCTAAAATCGCTTTGAGGTGCTTTTGGTGAGGAAATGACATAACATGGATTTAGCATGATCCAGAACCTCTGGAATGATCTCCTTTCTCCGTACGCAGCGTTGACAGTCTGGGCTACAGACCCTTTTATTTAAAGCTGCTCTTACCTAAACCTTCTATTTTCTTATTTTTAACTCACATTTTTAATCTTTCATCTGTTTCTGAAACGTTATAATTGAATGACTTCATCGTTAATCTGATTCTGTTTTGAGATCTTTATGATTTTATGACTTAGTTTTATTTAGTTTTGATCTACGTGAAGCACTTAGTGATTCTATGTCTGATTATTACTAATAACTACCCTCTGATGGGTTCTTCCTCTCCTCCTGTGTCGTGTAGCCAGTAGAAATCATTATTAACGCCACGGCCCTGAAACAGCAGTTTGGTCGCGTTTAACTTCAGATATTGAGCAACAGGTGTGTGTTTCTGTTCAGGTAAACGTTTGGTTTCAGCTGCACTACGTTTATCAGCAGTCACACATGCCAGCCGTGTTCTGACCCGTAAAGGCCCAGCAGAACACGGCCAGATACGCTTTGGTTCTGGACAAACGGAGACGCAGCTGCTGCCTGCTGATATGGCATCAGTCCCTGATTTATGTGACGCCTCCATTGGGACGAGGCTGTTTGAGGTCATGTGACTGTTTACCAGAACCACATAAACCAGGGTTGAAGGTCAGGGTGGAACCTGGTGTGGACTGTCAGTCTGGTTCTGATCCAGCTTCACAGCTGTTTGGATTCTAGCTCCAGCTACGTTGGACAGAACCTTGTTTCCCATCTGATCTGATCAGCTCTCTTAGTGGTGGTTCTGGATGGGGAGGAGCTGGTTAGTTAGCCCGTTTGGGTCGTCTCCTGTGTGAGATGTTGTGTTTTGAATGGTTCTGACCGTTACACCTGAGATCTCCTCACCGCTCCACCAGAACAGGTCCAGTTTCCTTTTGACCTTGATCTGATCTGTTTTTTAGAACAAAGGAGGCACGGCACCAGAACCAGCATCAACAGCCTAACGGACACTTCCCAGTATCACGTAGAGGTGAGAACGTCCTGGTTACTGGTTCTGAAAAGCCTTCAGCAGATCCAGAATGTCCCAGCCAGAGTTCTGTTGGGCTGTAGCTGAAACCTGGTTCTGTTGGTCCCACCCAGCACCTGAGTACGTTCGTGTTGGACCGTAAGGACGGTCTGATCACAGTGGAGGACGGGATCAGACGGCTCCGTCTGCTGGACGCCAAAGGGAAGGTCTGGACCCAGGAGATGCTGCTGCAGGTGGAGGAGAAGGCCGTCAGCCTCATCGACCTGGAGACCAAGGTCAGAACAGAACCCTTGATGTCATGGGTCAGATCAGTTCATTTCAGTTTATTTCCACAGCGCCACCTCACACCAAAGTTGTCTCAAGGTAAACGTTCCAGTTGAGCCTACTCGTCCATGCACTGAGGTCCTCTACTCGGTGGTTCTGTCTGTCTGTAGAACCAAAAGCTAAACTCGTCTCCTCGCTGGAACATCTGCCCAGCCTTCCTCGGTCTACAGGAGTGAGTCATCCCTGAGTTGAACAAAACAGCTGTTCATGATCTAAAACATGCAGGAAATGTGCCGGAACCAGACGGCAGCGCCAGGGATGTCAGCTCCGTTTTGAGCGGACTGGCGGTTTGTTACGACCCCGAAGGTAACAGGAGAACCCGGAACAGCGAGTTTAAACATAATCCCAAACGAAAAGGTTAAGATTGAAAGACCAATCACCAACAGTAAACCACCTGGTTAAAACTTCTGAGTTTGACCAAGACTGAAGGCGTTTTAAATACGAAGTTAAGAGTCTAAAACTAGAGTTAACCTTTAAAATAACAAAATCAGAAGATCCTCCAGATCAGCTCAGACTTGTAAAGCCGGGCGTACACTGTGTGACTTTTTCACTCGCAGCACTCAGCTTCAGCTCAAACTGTACGACTTCCTCGCAGGGCAGATCTCACGAGTCGTGTGCTCACACTGCACGACCCAGTTCTCGCATGCGACCTGACTGCTCACACTGTACGTCTGGTAGCAACACGTCGGACCTAAAAATATGCTAAAAATAGCAGTTTTTACTCAACACGTCAGACTTTTTTGTCTTGTTTTGCCTGTTGTCCTTCGGGAGTGCTGCAGGAGGACACACAGGGATTTATGGGGGTTGGATGAGGAAAACGAAATAAAGAAAGTAAATCTGTGTTTTGTGATCAGTTTAATTTGACACGAACACGACAAACACGCTTTCTTGACAATCTCTGTGAGTAAAAAACGTGTAGAAATAAAAACGAACAGCGTGTGTTATTAGGGAAATAGCGGCGAGCGGTGTTGATGCAGGATTGCACATGCTCCGTGAGCGGTTCTGGTACTTTTTGGGTCGCAGCTGCTCGCAGCGCCGCTTCAACAGTGCGATACCCTCACGAGGGACGAGCGAAATATTAAACACGCCAGAAGTCCCTGCGACCTCATGACTGCTGATCGGCAGCTGGTCACGTGGTGTTAATCGCCTCTCGTAACCCCCTGTACACGACGCTCAGCGCAAAACTCGCCCCGATGTCGTGGATTCTCGCACGAGTGGAAAATCGGCTCAAAAAAGTGAAAAAGTCGCACAGTGTCTGCTCGGCTTAACCGTTTCAGTCAAAACTCATCAAAAACAAAGGGTTCAAAACCAAATCTGAGGCTTGGAGGACAACAGAGCCCCGACTGCTGATGGCACAGCCTTCTTATCCCAGGAGTGGGTCATCAGATGGATTCAGCTCAGCCGTGCTAATCAGCAGCCTGGAGAAGAGGAGGAGGGGCGGTGTCTGGGCTCGTCACAGGGGCTGGGTGATCCTGGCTCCTGGAGCTGAAGACGCCAGGCCAGTGGCCAAAACACACTCTCAAGTTGCAAGTGAGATTTTCAGCCACAGGGGGCGACAGGTGCTGGGTGACGTTTCGTTAACCCTGTAAAGGGTAATTTAAGGGTCATGCTGTCACATGTAATAGGGTTTAATGTGTACGCCCCCCCTCGGTGGACGCCCCCCCCCCCCTCGGCGGATGCGGTTGTTGCACGTGAGCGGCTCCGAAGTTCTGTGGAGAAGCTGCAGACGGCCCATGCGCTTATTCTCATCAGCGGGGATTTGAATCGCGCCTCACTCTCTTCCACCCTCCCTACTTTCACCCAGCATGTGAAGTGCCACACCAGAGACAAAAGGACAATTGACCTGCTTTATGCTAACGCTAAAAACGCGTACACCTCCATCACCCTCCCTCCGCTGTGCCGCTCCGATCACAATCTCATCTACCTGAAGCATTAATACACACCAGAGTGATCAGGGAGCCTCCTAAAAATAACCGTGAAAGTGTGTCTTGTGCTTTTTCTTTTCAGTACAGTTGCCAAACTCACACAGAATCATTAGCCTAGTGAACTAGACCAAACTCTTGCTTTGCAAAGTTTGGTCTAGGAACACTCCACTGGAACCTCTGCAGCACCCAACAGCATTCTGGCTGGCCAATCACAGCTCTCTAGAGGGGTTTCAAACACATAAAGAGCTGTGATTGGTCCATAATGGTGGGCCAATCATAGTGCTCTATCTGCTTAGTGAACAAATCACAGAGCTTTATCCGCTTTGTGGGCCAATCAGGGCACTCTATATGCCTGGTGGGTGGGATGCTGCAACAGAGTGAAACAAGATTATGTCACATTCATTGTCCAGTAGACAATGGCAGAACCCGCCCCACAACCGAGAACCGTCAACGGAGCGTTGCCAGACCAAATAACACATTTATTTAGTCTGGCTTGCCAGGCTACAGAATCGTAGCTCTGAGCCATCTATTACCTTAGCCCTCAGCAGCAATGACTTCATGGGATTTTTTACAAGTAAAATTAATTCTATTAGAAACAAAATCTTTAGCATCCTCCCTAATGTGATTTCTTCTTCCTCAGTAAGTGAGGCAGCATCAGAGGTAACTGTAGAACCTCATCTGTGCTTGAACCGTTTTGATCCACTTGAGCTTTCAGAATTATCAAAAATATTAGCTTCATCTAAACCTTCAACTTGCATTTTGGATCCAATCCCAACCAAATTATTTAAAGATGCATTTCCTTTGGTTATTGCCCCCATTCTAGATATAATCAATCTATCCTTAGTAAATGGGTATGTACCACAAGATTTTAAAGTTGCTGTAATCAAACCTTCACTTAAAGCCCCAGTGTGTGATACTTTTACCAGTTTACTATCATATCCTGTGTTTCCACTTTGCAAACTTGTCCTTTTTCACCAATATTTCTCACCAACATCAATTCTAAATATTCCTCTCAACTTGAAATTATGTATTTTTAAATACCGTAAATCCTCTAATATTAGCCTGTATTTAATTAACTGTCGGGTATCATATTTTGGCCGGTGTCGGAGTCGGTGGAGGTGAATAATGACCGCTATTTTATTGTGGCCGGGTGGAATGTGGTAACAAGCAAGTACGGGGGCGGTTGTGTCATCCGTCTCACTTTTGATTTGCCAGTGATAGACCGCGAGGGTAACTTTAACCGTGCGGAGACGAAGAGGAGGCGAAAATTTGATATCAAGTTCAAAGAGAACGTGCTGATTATGCTGCAGAACACTCTGGGGAGCAGTAGCAGGGGTTGTATGAACTAGTCACTAGTCGACTTCACCGCTCTATTAGAGGTGTGAATCTTCACTTGTCTTTCGATTCGATTACGATTATTGGGTCAACAATTCAATTCGATTCGATATCACGATGCATCACGATTATTTCATATTGTTTTGTTTTCATCGATAAATAGAAGATGTCAGATAACTGATTTTAATTTTTTTTTTATCAAAAACGTAATTGACACAACCTGCCATCCCTCAAAAGCTCTCCATCCACAACAGGTTAGGACAAAACATTGTAAACATTAAAGAAGATTTAACAAAGTAAAACATCTGTTTCCTGGTTCAACACCACACCTCAGGCTGAGAAAAACACGCTTTGCAAAAACTCACAAAATCTAAAAAAGTACTGAAAACCTACAGGACACATCATGTAATAATAAAATCCATAATGGGTTCATATATGAGTGTTTAATGTCTCTGAGCAGCTCTAGAGTCAGATGTTTATGCCACAGCTGAAGGGTGTCAGAAATAACACCAAATGAAATGTTTGACTTAGTTTCATTTGAACATAAAACAAATTCTACACTTCCAATAATATTTAAGATGTGTGTTTTATTCTTTCTGATAACACCAGCAGAAGGCTGTGGGCTGGATTAGGATTAAATTACCCAGCTGATGGATCTCCTTCACTAACCAGCTAACTACAAACCTTTCCACTAACCTGTCCTGTGTGACCCTCACCATGTAACCCTCATGTCCATGTGACCCTCACCATGTAACCCTCATGTCCATGCTGTCTCTGGAGGAGCAGATAGGAGACAAGACCTCCTGTAACTTAAAATGAATCAAAGCTTCCTCCCAGTTTCTCTTTAAGCTGAGTTTAACATCAGTTTATCATCATGGAACAAAATAATAAAGTGGAACAAGAACTTCTATTTCTCTCTCCTTTTAACTTCTCCATGTCCCTAAATAAAAGAGACAGACGATCACGCCGCAGCCGCCGTCACTGACCCCGCCCCCTCCCCAAGACCGGATCTCCCTACATCACAGCACTCGGTCTGACTGAGCGCTTCCAGGAGAAATAATTAAATTATGAAAATAACGCGTGTTTGGATCATTGGTTTAGAGGAGCGTCCTCCGATCCTCTCTCTTGTGTGAGCAAACAGTGTGTCTCTCTCTCTCTCAGTCGCTGATCGAGCGAGCGGAGCGGGCTGCACGACAACCGCTCAATTAACATAATTCACGGCCCAAATCCAACAGAACCGGCCGGGCTGATTCGGTTCCGGTTTGGTCTCAGGTTACAACTCCAGCGCTCAGCCCTGCAGTAACACATTAAGGCGGAGGTAAATGTGGAGGACGCTCACTCTGACAGATTTGGATGCGGCGCTGGTGCCGCCGTTAAAAAAACAAAACTACATTCCACTATAATCTATTATGGCGTACTCTTCTACGATGCAGAATCGTTTATGTCCGCATCCCGATGCATCGATTATTAGATTATTTTCCTCAGCTCTACGCTCTATAGTGACTTGTTATGCCTGTCATCGACTAGTCGCTGTCACGTGATAATGACCGGCAAGATGCAGTCCACGGAAAAGACAGCAGCCTGCTGTCAGCAGGGGACAAGCTCCTGCGGGTCGGGAGGCAACGCGCTGGGCCAGAGCGTCGGTACTGACACCCGCCGTAAAACGGACATTTAACCAAATTGTGACGTTTACCCTCTTGCAATTTAACCTTCCCCTCACCCCCATCCTAACCTTAACCAGCTTGCACATGCAAAGCTCTGATTGTTGACGCGCTCCAGACATCTGCGTCCTGAGCACGGCCACAGTAACATTATCAAATCAGGTGTCGCCACCTCAAAAACTAATTTAACACGCGATCGTTCATGTCGGCTCATTTCCTTTAATGTTTTCTGTCTTTTATTCTTTTATTTGCGCCTGATGCTTTTCGCTGCTGTGGAGCGGGGCGCATCACCTGTTTTGTCCTCGGTGACGCACCTAACTGATGTGGCCCGCGAGCACTCTGCTGTTTTAGCGGTCGGTGGATCTTTTAGAACTGCAGTTCAAAGGTAACTCATGAGGTGAATAAATATGAACCCAGGTAGCAGTTTCTCTTTAGGACTGAGAGGAGATGCAGGAAGATAATAAACAGACAGGACAGAAAAATAGTCAAATAAAAACAAGTTAGTTTTTGTACCTGCTGGTTGCAACAAACAGACACCATTGAAGGTAATCAGAAGTGAGTAACAGAAAATGAAATAATTATTTTAATGTTTAGAGCAGCAGGAACTCCGAGAGGCTGCAGGCGCATCAGTGCAGGGGGAGGGGGGAGAGGGCTGTAGCAGGAACTACCGTTGTTAAAAGAAATGTGTTTAACTTTGAAAATGTGGGCGCAATTTTAATTGTCAAAAACTCCAGCGAACCATTAGTTCATTTTGCTCAAATAAAAGTTGAGGCCTGCCTCTAATACTGGCCCTCCTTCCAATAAAGGCCAGGAGCTTGATGAGATTGCGTCAAATACAGGCCCGGGCCTCTATTAGAGGATTTACGGTACATAAACTGTCGTCAAGGCTCCATGGTCATCCACCATCTTAAAATACAGTAGCTGTTTAGGGACATATGAGCTCCACGTTACCGTTTGGACTATAACTGCAACCTGACAGAACCAGCAGAGGGCAGCAGTGCACCCTGGAAGCCTGGAGTCTGCTAATTCAACTAAGAAACAGAAAAGAAGAGCTACACCGTTGCTGTTCTTGTTAGTTTGAATAAAAAACAAATCAGAAAACATAAAATGTGTCAGTACCTCATCATGTCCGACACAAGGAAGCTGCACATGTTCAGACCCCGCCCCCTGTTAGCTGTTCACCAGCCTCAGATTAGCGTCTGACTCTCAAACTCACCTCAAGTTGTTCATCCGTCTTTTCCTAGCACCAGTATTCCCGACCCAGTCACAACGTGTCAGTATCAGAACTCCTGACCCAGTCCCAACATGTCCGTTCCAAAGTCCTTCTACTCAAGTCTCCTCTCTTCCTGCAGCCTGCCGTCTCTCCCAACACGCTCCAGCGCTCGTCTGCTAGCCAGTGGCTAAAGCAGCGTTGTTTACTTTATCTCCACAACACTTTACTAACAGCGATGTAGTTCTCCACGCGTTACTGAGACGCTCCGACTCAGAGGGCTTCTTCTCAAACGTTACCTTTAGACTTGGGTCTCCTTTTGCTGGTGATCCGTGGGAGTTTACACACAGCGTCTCCCCGGCTCTAGCCATGGCTAACTAGTAGCTCGTGACGCCCATCTCCACCACGCCAGCTGTGGTTAACGAGCAGCCAGTGATCGCTCCATATCCATATAAGCTGGTAGCGGCAGCCACTTTGTTTACATTGAGGCTTCGTGATCCATGTGAAACGGGTGTTGTGGGAAATTATGTTCCCCTGAAATATTGTGTTTCCCTTATTGTTTTTCCGTTAGGCAGTCAAGAGCAAATATTTCCAAATCCACAGAACTTATAGTCCATTATGAGGACTAAACTAGCTGAAATAAAAGATGTTAAACTGAGTGAGATAACCGTAAAAAAAAAAAAACCGTAAAAGTTGATCACACATGTTGTGAAAACAGCCAGAAGTGTGATCTCCCGACACGGGGGGACAGAATATTTCAGGGGAACACAGTTTCTCACAACACCTGACCTCCCGACTGACGTCACCCCTCCGTGTGTGAATGGTGACCGCTTTAACAGAACTAGCTTGCTTCCTTCAGACCTGGTAGGTGATAAACAGTCATAACTATAAATGCCTTTTAAAGAGGTCGAGTAGCTAGTTTTAAGCTTTGTGTGGGTTAGGCTACACAGGCTGGAAACTGGTTTTACAGTCAAACTCACGAGTGGGCCGCCGTAGCTGCAATACTTTCTCTGACCTGCATGGCGCTAAAGAGTCACATTTTTCATCCTGATTTCTGTGGATTTCACACACGGGGCCTTTAAGTATGCAAACAGCTGTTGCTGTTCAAGATCTGGTGGGAATCTAGTAGCGAAGACTGTCACCATCGTAGTCCGCACCCCCTTGATGGAGCCTCTTGAGCTTGTACAGACAATCCTGTAGGCTTCCCGACGAGTTATCTGATATCCCAGTGCTGAATTAGCAATACCATTCCTAACTCGTCAGCCTTTCTTTACAACATGACTCCATGACTCTGTTTTGGCGTTGCTACAGCTGTCTTTCTCCAGCACCCTCCTCGGAGCACAAGCTGCTGCTGGCTCAGTGCAGTTGGCCTCCGATGACATATCAGCCACGTTGATCTCAGAAGATTTCTGACCAATAGTACCTCCGTCCACGCCCGTTGTGGTGTTAACCATATACAACTCTGCGCACTCCTGACGTGTAGAGGCAGGAGGAATGTTCTCACCCATCTCGTTCAGAAGTTTCAGACAGCCCTTAACGTTGTAGTTGTCCTTTTGTGGACCTTTATGTACCACGAGGCGCACCAAAGAGCTTAGACAGCGTTCAAATAGAACTGCCTTCGAGGACTCAATCCATTCTGAACCAAAGTGCTTCACTGCAAGTAGCACTATATCATCTCATAGTTAAAATTTTAATTACCAGGAAGTTTAAAAATTCATCCCCACAAGAACTTTACCATCACTGGTTCTATATATGACAAGTGTTGCTCGGGATCTACTCGATGTAACATCCACGTCAGCACCTCCGTCTTCCTCCTCCGCCATCTTATAGTTCCAATTACACTGGGGTCAAAGGTGAATGCAGCCGTTACTTTGTATGAAAATTCCCATGGCACTGAGTCGAATGCTTTTTCTGCATCAAAACTTACTATCAGAGTTTATATTTAGTATGTATAAAGTATACAGATAGTATACTGTATATATATATAGTATACATATAGTATACTTTATGTATACTATATATAGTATACATATAGTATACTATATATAGTATACATTTAGTATACTATATATATAATATACATACATTATACTATATATACTGTATATAGTATACTATATATATAGTATACATGTAGTATACTATATATAGTATACTACATGTATACTATATATAGTATACTATATGTATACTATATATAGTATACTATATGTATACTATATATATACATATAGTATACTATATATATAGTATACATGTAGTATACTATATATATAGTATACTACATGTATACTATATACAGTATATATAGTATACATCTATATTTAGAGTTTATATTGTCTGACATATTTCATGATCAAATGTGTTTTTCGAAGGTCGTCTTGGGTTTGTCGCATTTTTATGATTTTTATTTTATGATGCATTAGTTCTAGACGTTTACATAATATAGATGTGAACAATTCATGTCCAGTGCACTGCTGGGGCGATAGTTACCACAGTCCATTTTGTTTTAGTTTCTCGGAGGCTAATTTAATGCCTTTCAGATCAGGTGATTGATTAAGCAGTTTCCTTTTCAGCGGTTCTGACTACATGTTGCGAAATGTCCTCCTGATGTTTTTCAGAACGAGTTGGAGAACTTCCCAATCGGGTCGCTTCAGCATTGCCAGGCGGCGATGAACACCTGCAGCTATGACTCCATCCTAGCGCTGGTCTGTAAAGAATCAGGTCAGAGTAAACCGGACCTGCACCTGTTCCAGTGCGACGACATCAAGGTAACCTCTGATTAGACAAGAGATCCTGATCTTTAAAAACAAGGCAGGTGTGTTTGGGGCTGGGGCTGACCCTGTCTGACGTTGTTGATGATGTCAAAGTCTCTGATGGTGGTCCTACGGGCCTTTCCCACTAGCATCGGCTCTGCATGGTCTGGATAGCATAGAGTGTGTCCACATTAGCATGGCGTGCCTTTTTTCAGGGTGCAACCGGATTGTTTTTCAGCCCTCTTCCTGAGGCGGTCTGCTTCAGGCTGACCAGGACCAACACACCCACTGCTGACTGATGGGCTGGCTGAAATTTATGCCTCCCATTAGGGGATGCCTCTGATTGGTGGGTAGAATCAGCCCAGTGGTCTTACAGCATGTGCGAGTCATTATCACGCTGATCATCAAGGAGGCGAGAACATCTCAGACTGCTTTCCTTGCATTCCTAAGCAAGGATGTGTGGAATCAACTGAGTCAGGCTGGGGTTGGTAGGGGCTATCCAGGCGGTGTGGAGCCGATGCTAGTGGGGATGGCCCATAACAGATCAACACAATTGGATCGGTTAATGAAACTTGTGTTCCTAAACCAGAACATGTTCTGATCCGACAGGCCAATCTAATCCAGGCTGATGTGGAGAGTGCCATGATCGATGCCAAAGGAGGAAAAGCCAAGAAACGACCCGAAACGCTGAAGTAGGACCAGATAAGAGCTGGTTGGCTGATTTCTGTCTGTCTGTCTCTTGATTGGCTCATTTCTGTCTACAGGATGATCCTAAAGAGTGACGGCATAATCCCACCTCCCCCAACTACACCTGCCCCTGAGGCGCCGGCACCATCCAATCAGACGGATGTTAGAAGCCGAGTTGCTGCCTGGTCGGCCTGGACCAATGAGCAGCAACACTGTGAGTGATGTCACAGTGGGTGTGGTCACATCAGAGGGGGAGATGGTCTTTAAAGTGGGAGTCAAGGCATGGGTTGAGACTTATTTCATCCACACTACCTGTTAATAAATTGTTTCTGAAAGAGGCGTCACCTGGCAGACCGAGAGAGCGTCACAGAGGCCGTGATAGACGGCTCCTCTCTCAAACCCCCCCCCCCCCCCCCCCCCCCCGTGTGCGCTGTCGGAGTTTCTGAGTCTGAAAACGAGTTGTTAATGAGCACGTGCGCACTCGCACGTATACGCAAGCACATACAGTAGACTTACGCTCAGGAGAAGAGCAGACACAGATTATGCAGCATTCTGGAGGATTTCCTGTTAACAGCGATCGTTAGAGGAAAAGCGGAGGAGGGCAAGCGGCTCTGAGCGCCAACATGTCATATCGACAGGTGAGTGGCTTAGCCAGGTGGAGGTGCGGCTGCCTCACCTGGACACCAGTGCAGTGCAGCCACGTAGTAATTACACACACAACGTCACGCTTTTCGTCTTGGCCATCAGCCACAGCTGGTTTTTACATGAATGTGGAGCAGAGTTTTAACCTGAAGATGGAGACAGAATTACGGTTTTGGGCTGAATTATTACATTTAATGTAAGTTGCACTAAACTGCCACACTAATGATCAGGGGCGGCGTTAGGCCCGGCTACTTGGGCTGAAGCCCCGGATCTTTCATGATAAGCCCCGGATCTAAATCGCGGAAGTAACATGCAGTACCAAAGTCACACAGAGAGGGCGCAGCTGGCAGTAGTTTGTAAAGTCCCATTTAGTCGTCACACACACAGGTGTGTGGTGAAATTTATTCTCCGATTTTGACCCATCCCCTGAGTTGCAGACACGCCGCGCTCGGGAACTATTTGGTGGTTTAACCCCCCAATCCAACCCCAATCCAATGCTGAGTGTCAAGCAGGGAGGCATTGGGTCCCATTTTTCTCAAAATCTTTGGTATGACCCGACCAGGAGTCGAACCCCTGATCTCCCGATCTCAGGGCAGACACTCTACCACTAGGCTACTTAGTCAGTATACAGTTTACCTGAGACTGAAGAGAAGCCCTTCAGCAGCTGGCTTCTGCAGTCTGTCTGAAACGCATGAGTGAAGATGGATATAAGGACGTTTTTTTAGACCAAAAGTACAACGACAGAACCCCAGCTCTGATGAGACTGGTGTTGACTCAGGTTTGTGAGTCTTATTTGAAAATATTTGTTGTGCTGCTGGTTTGCCTAAAGTTAGCTTACTATCAGGTAAAGTTGTTGGAGAAAGAAAGGGAATATTCACTATCATCTCACACTAAACACTAACAGGAACAATACTCTGCCCTGAATATGCTGAATATGTAGCTTCAGATTAAACATTATGTGGTACAAGACAAATATATATGATGTTGACTAGTGCGTGTCACGTGTGTGCGCGCATGCGTGTGTGTGCGCGTGCGCGCGCGTGTGTGTGCGCGCGCGTGTGTGTTAAGCCCCGGATCTTCTTCAGTCCTAAATCCGCCCCTGCTAATGATTACACATGTGTACATCACCATTACACACTCATCTGTACAGGTTGTTAGCAGGTTATTAGCTGGTTATTAGCAGGTTATTAGCTGTTTGTTAGCAGGTTATTAGCAGGCTTTTAGCAGGTTGTTAGCTGATTTTTAGCAGGTTGTTAGCTAGTTGTTAGCAGGTTGTTAGCAGGTTATAGCTGGTTGTTAGAAGGTTGTTAGCAGGTTATAGCTGGTTGTTAGAAGGTTGTTAGCAGGTTATAGCAGGTTGTTAGCTGGTTGTTAGCAGGCTGTTAGCAGGTTGTTAGCTGGTTGTTAGCAGGTTGTTAGCTGGTTGTTAGCTAGTTGTTAGCAGGTTGTTAGCTGGTTGTTAGCAGGTTGTTAGCTAGTTGTTAGCAGATTATTAGCAGGTTATTAGCAGGCTGTTAGCAGGTTGTTAGCTGGTTGTTAGCAGGTTGTTAGCTGGTTGTTAGCTAGTTGTTAGCAGGTTGTTGGCTGGTTGTTAGCAGGTTGTTGGCTGGTTGTTAGCAGGTTGTTAGCAGGTTGTTAGCTGGTTGTTAGCAGGTAGTTAGCTGGTTGTTAGCTAGTTGTTAGCAGACTATTAACAGGTTGTTAGCAGCGTTTAATGTGAAGGAAAACACAGGGTCATTGTCATTCCATATGTGCGAGAGAGAGCGCTCTTCCGGCATCTCTGCATCTTTATTGATACACCTGTGTCTCGTCACACAATCAGCAGGTCACATGACCACATTCTTCTAAAAAGCATATAAAATCAAAATCATCTGAACTGAAAATGAGCACATAATACCTAACTTATGTCCCTAATGTAACAAAACATCCAACTTAAAGGGTTTGCGTGTTAGTGGATGTGTAGAACAAAGCTCTAGGACTGGACCAGTTAGCTGTTACGTCTTCAATGACTCGTTCTTTCTGCTGCATTTCTCAAACGGAGTTGCTGACATCATCAGCCTGAGCTGTGTAGTTTGTGTGATGGTGTTTATGTATGTAGCAGATGCTTTAGTCCGAAGCGACTTACAGGTGATGAACCAGCCAACAGGCTGCCCGAGGCTCAACATGATGGTCTTGGCTGAACTGTGATTGTTTGGGTGAGTCAGCTGATGCAGGCGTGTTTGTGTTGCAGACGACCAGCTCCCTCAGGACAACGGGCCAGTGGAGATGACGGCGCTGAGAGTGGACCGGGACGTGGTGAGTCTCACATCTGTCCTGATCCCAGAGCAGCTGGAGGTCACTCCAGGCCAGCTGACACTAGATGAGCTTAAATCTGGTTGAAAGACGCCAGCGTGATCTGAATCCAATCAGTCAGGAGGGAAAAGCTTCTTTTATTATTTATTTTTTCTTCCGGCGCTGGTGGAACTGGCTGCTGATTGCAATGGCCTCTCTGCTTTCCTTTCTGTTTCAGTTAAGTTTGTAAGTTGCTGAGTTATTGAACCTTTGTGATCAACATCTGGTGAATAATGAGAACGTTAAATACAGTCGGGAGCAGCTACTGGCGCTGCTGGCGCTGTAGTCTTCCCTAGGGACAGACATGAGATCCCCACGGAGGTGCTGTGGAAAAGTCGCCGCGGCCACCGAGCTGGAAGGAAACTACGTGAAGAGAAGATTCAGACCCGCTCTCCCCTCGGTTATCATGGGAAACGTAAGATCCCTCTCCAACAAGACAGATGAGCTGGCGCCCTCACGAAGCATCAGCGGGAGTACAGAGAGAGTTGTGTCCTCCTGTTTACGGAGAGCTGCTCTCGCCGCTCATGCAGGACTCCGTCGTGTCTTTGGGCAACTTTCATCTGCTACGGCCAGACAGGACAGAGGACAGCGGTAAGAGGAAAGGAGGGGGTCTGGCTGTGTTTGTGAACAAGAGGTGGTGTAAACCGGGACACTGCACGATTAAAGGGAAACTGTGCAATAATAACATTGAGCTGTTATTATGAGGCCGTATTATCTGCCACGGGAGTTCTCACACGTTGTTGTGATGGTGGTGTACGTGCGGCCTTCTGCAAACGTGGAGACGGCCTCTGAAGCTCTGCTCACGATCACCAGCAGGCTGCAGACACGGCATCCACAGGCCGCCTCCGTCATCTGTTCTGTTACCTGTCCAACCAGAGACAACAAAATACTGGACTCGTTTTATGCCGACACCAAAGAGGCATATGCACCCCCCCCCCCACACACACACACACACACACACACACACACACAGTGGGGGGAGCTGTGCACAGGCAGGCTGTGGCCCCACGTACAGTGAGGAGGTGGACTGATGAGTGTGAGGAGGCTCTCAGAGACTGCTTCAACACCACGGTGTGGACAGAACTCTGTGATCCACACGGGGAGGACATCAACGCCGTCACAGATTGCATCACGGACTACATAAACTTCTGTTTTGAGAACATCGCGAACACCAAACCATGGATCACCCCCGACATCAAAACTCTCTTAAAGGAGAAAAAGAGAGCCTTCAAATATAGGGACAAGGAGGAGCTGAGGAGGAAGATCAGGGAGGGGAAGGCCAGCTACAAGAGGAAAATGGAGGAGCTGCTACACCCCACTCACAGGGGGAGGGGGACCTGAAGTGGGCCAACGACCTAAACCTGTTTTTCAGTAGGTTTGACCAAGCACCCACCCCTACCCCCACACAGCTGCATTCGAATAACTCGACACCTAGACGACCCCTACAGCTACAGCCCTTCACACCTCCGGCTCCTCCATTCAGACCATCGTGCGCCCCCCAGGACTCGGCCCCCTCCCCAGTACAGAGCTCCACTGCCCACCCCTCTCCTTTACAGCAGGCCAGGTGAGGAGAGAGCTGATGAAGACCAAAGCAGAAAAGCTGCTGGGCCTGACAACATTAGCTCCAGGCTCCTTAAATCCTGCGCAGATGAACTGAGTGGAGCTTTGGAGCATGTCTTCAACCTGAGCCTGAAGCTGAGGGTGGTACCACAGCTCTGGAAGACCTCCTGAGTGGTTCCAGTGCCAAAGACACCAAAAGCTAATGAGCTCAGTAGCTACCGGCCGGTGGCTCTCACGTCCCACCTGATGAAGACACTGGAGAGACTGATCCTGGGACACCTCCGGTCTCTGTGGGACCTTCGATGGATCCACTGCAGTTTGCTTACCGACCAGGGGTTGGAGTAGAAGATGCAGTCACCTTCCAGTGCCTACTACATCATGCTCTGGCTCTCCTGGAGAAGCCTGGCAGCTCTGTGAGAATCCTGTTCTTTGATGTTTCCAGTGCTTTTAACACCCTCCAGCCAGGGATTCTGAAAACTAAACTGGAGAGGGCTGGGCTGGACCCTAACCTGGCAGAGTGGATCCTGAGCTATCTCACAAACCCGCCCCAGTTTGTGAGAGTCTGGGACTGTGTGTCTGACCTGTTAACCTGCAGTGTGGGTGTGCCCCATGGCACTGTCCTGGCTCCATTTCTCTTCACCCTCTACACCTCTGACTTCAGACACAACACGGACAGCTGTGTCCTGCAGAAGTTCTCAGACGACTCCGTGGTTGTCGGACTGATCATCGAGGAAGACGATGTGGCGTACAGAGGACTGACGCAGGACTTTGTCGACTGGTGCCAGCAAAACCACCTCCTGATCAATGCAGGGAAAACAAATGAGATGGTGGTGGATCCTGGCAGACGCCGACCTGCTGTCCCCTCACCGGTGAACATCCAGGGAACAGACATCGAGAGAGTGGACTCCTATAAATACCTGGGTGTTCACCTGAACAACAAACTGGACTGCTCTCACAACACAGACACACTGTACAGGAAGGGCCCGAGCAGGCTCCACCTCCTGAGGAGACTAGTCTTTTGGGGTGACGGGGACACTCCTGAAGACCTTCTACAACTCTGTGGTGGCATCAGCAATCCTGTATGGTGTGGTGTGTTGGAGCAGCAGCATCACAGAGAGTGAGAGAAAGAAGCTGGACAGGCTGATAAAGAAGTCCAGCTCTGTTCTGGGCTGGACTCAGTACGAGAGGTGGGGGACAAGAGGGTGCTGGCAAAACTCAGATCCATCCTGGACCATGAGTCACACCCCCTGCAGGATGCCTTGTCTGCTCTGGAGAGCAGCTTCAGGAACAGACTGGTCCACCCTCGCTGTACGAAGGAGAGATACCGCAGATCTTTCCTCCCTGCTGCTGTTAGACTCTATAATAGTCACTGCTAATAGAAGCCATGCATCTGTAACCTTCCGCTGCAAAAACCATCTTTTCAAAACGTGCAATATAACTACTGCTCTCATTACCATGTGCAATATAACTACTACTCTCATTACCATGTGCAATATACTAATAATCTCATTACCATGTGCAATATAACTACTGCTCTCATTACCATGTGCAATATAACTACTACTCTCATTACCATGTGCAATATACTAATAATCTCATTACCATGTGCAATATAACTACTGCTCTCATTACCATGTGCAATATAACTACTACTCTCATTACCATGTGCAATATACTAATAATCTCATTACCATGTGCAATATAACTACTGCTCTCATTACCATGTGCAATATAACTACTACTCTCATAACCATGTGCAATATACTACTAATCTCATTACCATGTGCAATATAACTACTGCTCTCATTACCATGTGCAATATATTACTGCTCTCATTACCATGTGCAATATAACTACTACTCTCATTACCATGTGCAATATACTACTAATCTCATTACCATGTGCAATATAACTACTGCTCTCATTACCATGTGCAATATACTACTAATCTCATTACCATGTGCAATATACTACTAATCTCATTATCATGTGCAATATACTACTAATCTCATTACCATATGCAGTATACTACTAATCTCATTACCATGTGCAATATAACTACTGCTCTCATTACAATGTGCAATATAACTACTACTCTCATTACCATGTGCAATATAACTACTGCTCTCATTACCATGTGCAATATAACTACTGCTCTCATTACCATGTGCAATATAACTACTACTCTCATTACCATGTGCAATATACTAATAATCTCATTACCATGTGCAATATAACTACTGCTCTCATTACCATGTGCAATATAACTACTACTCTCATAACCATGTGCAATATACTACTCTCATTACCATGTGCAATATAACTACTGCTCTCATTACCATGTGCAATATACTACTGCTCTCATTACCATGTGCAATATACTACTGCTCTCATTACCATGTTCAATATAACTACTACTCTCATAACCATATGCAATATACTACTAATCTCATCACCATGTGCAATATAACTACTGCTCTCATTACCGTGTGCAATATACTACTAATCTTATTACCATGTGCAATATACTACTAATCTTATTACCATGTGCAATATACTACTAATCTCATTACCGTGTGCAGTATACTACTAATCTCATTACCATGTGCAGTATACTACTAATCTCATTACCATGTGCAATATAACTACTGCTCTCATTACCATGTGCAATATAACTACTACTCTCATTACCATGTGCAATATAACTACTGCTCTCATTACCATGTGCAATATAACTACTGCTCTCATTACCATGTGCAATATAACTACTGCTCTCATTACCATGTGCAATATAACTACTGCTCTCATTACCATGTGCAATATACAGGTGCTGGCCAGTAAATTAGAATATCATCAAAAGGTTGAAAATATTTCAGTAATTCCATTCAAAACGTGAAACTTGTACATTATATTCATGCAATGCACACAGACCAATGTATTTCCAATGTTCATTACATTTAAATTTGATATTTATAGGTGACAACCAATGAAAACATCAAATCTGGTATCTCAGAAAATTAGAATATTCTAAAGGCCAATGAAAAAATGTTTGTTTCTCTAATGTTGGCCAACTGAAAAGAATGAACATGAAAAGAATGTGCATGTATAGCACTCAATACTTAGTCGGGGCTCCTTTTGCCTCAATAACTGCAGTAATGCGGCGTGGCATGGACTCGATCAGTCTGTGGCACTGCTCAGGTGTTATGAGAGCCCAGGTTGCTCTGATAGTCGTCTTCAGCTCCTCTGCATTGTTGGGTCTAGCGTATTGCATCCTCCGCTTCACAATACCCCATAGATTTTCTATGGGGTTAAGGTCAGGCGAGTTTGCTGGCCAATCAAGGACAGGGATACCATGGTCCTTGAACCAGGTGCTGGTGGTTTTGGCACTGTGTGCAGGTGCCAAGTCCTGTTGAAAGGTGAAGTCTGCATCCCCATAAAGTTGGTCAGCAGCAGGAAGCATGAAGTGCTCTAAAACTTCCTGGTAGACGGCTGCATTGACCCTGGACCTCAGGAAACAGAGTGGGCCAACACCGGCAGATGACATGGCACCCCACACCATCACTGACGGTGGAAACTTTACACTGGACCTCATGCAACGTGGATTCTGTGCTTCTCCGCTCTTCCTCCAGACTCTGGGTCCTTGATTTCCAAAGGAAATGCAGAACTTGCTTTCATCAGAAAACATAACTTTGGACCACTCAGCATCAGTCCAGTCCTTTTTGTCCTTGGCCCAGGCGAGACGCTTCTTGCGCTGTTTCTTGTTCAAGAGTGGCTTGACACACGGAATGCGACACCTGAATCCCATGTCTTTCATGAGTCTCCTCGTGGTGGTTCTTGAAGCGCTGACTCCAGCTGCAGTTCACTCTTTGTGGATCTCCCCCACATTTTTGAATGGGTTTGTCGTCACAATTCTCTGCAGGGTGCGGTTATCCCTAGAGCTTGTACACTTTTTTCTACCACATTTTTTCCGTCCCTTCGCCTGTCTGTTAATGTGCTTGGACACAGAGCTCTGCGAACAGCCAGCTTCTTTAGCAATCACCTTTTGTGTCTTGCCCTCCTTGTGCAAGGTGTCAATGATTGTCTTTTGGACAGCTGTTAAGTCAGAAGTCTTCCCCATGATTGTGGTGCCTTCAAAACAAGACTGAGGGACCTTTTAAAGGCCTTTGCAGGTGTTTTGAGTAAATCAGCTGATTAGAGTGGCAGCAGGTGTCTTCTATATTCAGCCTTTTCAGAATATTCTAATTTTTTGAGATACCAAATTTGGAGTTTTCATTAGTTGTCACTTATGAATATCAAATTTAAATGTAATGAACATTGGAAATACATTGGTCTGTGTGCATTGCATGAATATAATGTACAAGTTTCACGTTTTGAATGGAATTACTGAAATATTTTCAACCTTTTGATGATATTCTAATTTACTGGCCAGCACCTGTAACTACTGCTCTCATTACCTTGTGCAATATAACTACTGCTCTCATTACCATGTGCAATATAACTACTACTCTCATTAACATGTGCAATATAACTACTACTCTTATTACCATGTGCAATATACTACTAATCTCATTACCATGTGCAATATAACTACTACTCTAATTACCATGTACAATATAACTACTACTCTTATTACCATATGCAATATACTACTAATCTCATTACCATGTGCAATATACTACTAATCTCATTACCATGTGCAATATAACTACTGCTCTCATTACCATGTGCAATAATTATCTTAACTCATTATGTACTCTTGTGCGATATCTTGGGTGCTACTGCTGCTATCCTGCTGTACTTGAGCCATTGCAATATTGCAATTTCCCCACTGAGGGACTAATAAAGGTATTCTTATTCTGACATGGGGGGGGGATGGACTTTGGTCTGTTGGTTCTGGCTTAATCATTGACATCCTGCAGAACCAGCTCATGGGGAATCTGCTCTTATTCCTGCAGCAAATCCTGAATCACATCCTGGACGACATCGAGTTCTTCGTCACCAAACTGCAGAAAGCTGCCGAGGCTTTCTCTGAACTCTCCAAGAGGAAAAAGGTCAAGAAGGGCAAGAAGAAAGGTCCAGGAGGTGAGTCGCACCTGTGCGCCTCCCCCAGGTGACCGGTGGAACTACAGGACGGGACATTTGTCTGAATTTCTGAAAGAGTTATTTATCTGTTCAAATGGAAAATATAATTAGGAGAAGAAAAATAACAAATAAATCTATTATAAACAAAAGTGTTAGGGTCATTGACGGCGTTTACACGAAGCCAGTAACCCGGTTCTGCAAGGCCATGTAAACAGGCAAACCCTCGTTACGGCCCCTGGGATAGCCCTTTTCTAACCCAAGAGGTCATCACACAGAACTGTCCAGCTGGCTTCATCTGCCTGGATTATTTAGTGCTTCATCAGTGTTCCACATCTTCACTGTCTGGTCTCCAAACCAGCAAACACTCTGCTGCTAACCTCCCCATCTGGGGAGACATCCCATCCCATCGCCTGACTTCTTTTCTCCCACCATTCACGTCCTGCTGCACCTCCGAGCTCCTGCAGGAGACTCAACTCGTCTACTAGCTGGATTTAATAATGATGTATTATCAGTATATTCACACATTAATAAATGACTGTTTAACGTGTTTACTTCATATTAAATGGATGAGGCCTGCTCTAAGTGTCTGAGGCTCTTGGTAAGTGCCCGTTTTACACTTGTTAGATTCTGATTCGTCTAAATCTATAAACGAGTGAATGAAACTTGAACCACTTATCAGTTCCTGCTGATATTCAGTAACTTCACACAGCTCCTACAACCCAGACCCCACCTAATAAAGCTTTTTACGTAACAGCTCACATTTCATCGTTGCTCATTCAGTGTCTCACCTTAATTCATCATTTATAATCATTAGTAATAGAAGTAATAAATAGGTTTTTATGAGTTATATGTCCGCCTCTGTGTCAAATGATTGGTTTGTTTTTTCCATCACTTACGGTGACGGAGTCTCCCTGGGCTGCCGCCTTACTGTGGGGGAGGGGCTTGAGTCCCAGTGATCAACACAAACACAAATACTGGCTGCATGTAAACATGCTGAGTCATGGAGTCTTGTTCTGGTGTTGAAGAAAACAACGAATGGCACCGCCGCTGGTTGTTCCCGTGTGCTGTGCCTACGGTGGGCCAGCAGCTGTAAAACCGGTTCTGTGCCTCTTGAGTCTGACCGAACGAAGCCCCGCGGGTCAAAGCTGAACCACCTTGTCTCTGCTCCTGTTTTCCACCAGAGGGGGTTCTGTCTCTGAGGTCCAAACCTCCTGGAGAAGATGAATTTGTTGACTGTCTACAGAAGTTCAAACACGCCTTCAACCAGCTGGTATCAGAACCTTCACCTCCTCACTGCACCTAGAACCTGGACCAGAAACAAGTTCAGTTTGTTCCTCGCCTTTCAGAACCACCTCACTGTGTATTCTGACCCGCAGGCCAAGCTGAAGGACCACATTCAGAACCCAAGTGCAGTGGATCTGGTCCACTTCCTGTTCTCTCCACTCAGGATGGTAAGTCCCATCACCTTTCCAGGAAGTGAGGAGCTAGAGCCGGTTCTGCGGTACATGATAATTCCTTTTGATGGATTATGATCCATTTAATCATGAATGCATGGAACAACCTGAGTTCTGATGTCATCAGGTGATCCAAGCGTCTGGTGGCACCGATCTGGCTCGGAGCGTCGTGGTTCCGCTGCTCACCAGAGACGCCATTGAGTTCCTCCATGCCTCAGGGACAGCAGAGGAGCGGCACCTGTGGGTGACGCTGGGAGATGGGTGGACCAAGTGCAGGTGAGAACTTCCTGGCTCTGTTCAGGTTCTCGTCTACGTGCTCCTCTCCTCATCACATTCTCTTTGATTGGAAAGAACACAATCTTTTATTCAGAGCCTCTAAGATAAAAATCACAAAACCAAAAATTAAAAATATGAAAAAGATACAAAAAATAATTGTGATTAAAATGCGAGGAAAGGGAGAGATGGATGAATAGGAACGAGAGAAATCCCGGGAAAGACGGAAACGGCAGAAGGAGCAGAACAAGGAGAGGGTGATGATGATGATGACCACGCCAACGCCTGAGCAGGTGAGTCTGCTGAACGCATTTGTAAGTTATGTTTTTAAACTCAGGAAAGGCTTTCACCTTGCTGACCGTTCCCACACCTGCAGGCAGATGCAGAAGGAAGTGACGCGGCCATTAGCGGCTAGCCCTGATGGAGAGCGCAGGAGCGATCAAAACTGTCAGCAAGCTAAAAAATTGTTCTCGTGTTTAAAAACATAACTTACTAATGCATTCAGAAGAAGAGCGCAGAATGAACGTACAAACAGGTGAGGCTTCAGCTGCTGTTTAGAGGAGACCACTGAGTCCACTGATCTCAGGCTCAGGGGGAGAGAGGTCCAGAGTCTGGGGGCCACAGCAGCAGCTTTGGTCTTTAGCCTGGTGCTGCACAACCAGTAGGCTTTGGTCACTGGACCTCAGGGACCTGCTGGAGGTGTAGGGACTGAGAATATCACCTTTGACCTTTAGCCTGGTGCTGCACAACCAGTAGGCTTTGGTCACTGGACCTCAGGGACCTTCCACATTGTCTTTGAATCTTGCTCACATCCTGCTCTCTGTGGATTTTCCAGGCTGGAGTGGCCAAAGGACCACTACTTCCCTCCCTGTGAGCTTCGGCTGCGTGATGGCTGGGAACCTCCCGTGCTGTCGTCGGTGACTCCGAGTCGGGAACAGGAGCTGATGCAGCTGGCTGAAAGCCTCGTTGGTGCCGACGTCCAGAGGTTGGAGGACCTGCGACTGCCTCAGGAGGTCTAGACTTGGTTCAAAAAGCGGTTCTGATAAAACACGCTACGATAAAGTACCATCTACATGTATGTGCTGTGTGTCCTTTGTCCAGGTAGCGTTTTCGAGGTATCCTCCGGATGATGGGTACGCCTTTTCCAACTCCAAACAATTCCAGATCCTGGATCAGGACACGGCCATGGCTGCTTTTAAACATGCCATCAGCCGCCGTGTAGACCGGTAAACTGCAGGTCATGTGACGCCCTGGAGAACCGATCCCACCGATGTTTTCCGGCCGCCGCCTCTAGAATCGCTCATTCATCATTTAGTGTTAAAACCCTCAGTCATAGTAACTGGGATACAAAGTTAAATGTAGATGTTTTTATTTCAAACTTAAATAGAAAATAAAATACCGCAATGCCAAAACGGTGCGACACACCTCCATCCCTTCTGGGTTCTTGCAGAACACCTCCATCCCTCCTGGGTTCTTGTAGAACACCTCCATCCCTCCTGGGTTCTTGCAGAACACCTCCATCCCTCCTGGGTTCTTGTAGAACACCTCCATCCCTCCTGGGTTCTTGTAGAACACCTCCATCCCTCCTGGGTTCTTGTAGAACACCTCCATCCCTCCTGGGTTCTTGTAGAACACCTCCATCCCTCCTGGGTTCTTGTAGAACACCTCCATCCCTCCTGGGTTCTTGTACAACACCTCCATCTCTCCTGGGTTCTTGTAGAACACCTCCATCCCTCCTGGGTTCTTACAGAACACCTCCTTCCCTCATGGGTTCTTGTAGAACACCTCCATCCCTCCTGGGTTCTTGCAGAACACCTCCATCCCTCCTGGGTTCTTGCAGAACACCTCCATCCCTCCTGGGTTCTTGTAGAACACCTCCATCCCTCCTGGGTTCTTGTAGAACACCTCCATCCCTCCTGGGTTCTTGTAGAACACCTCCATCCCTCCTGGGTTCTTGTAGAACACCTCCATCCCTCCTGGGTTTGTGTAAAACACCTCCATCCCTCCTGGGTTCTTGTACAACACCTCCATCCCTCCTGGGTTCTTGTAGAACACCTCCATCCCTCCTGGGTTCTTACAGAACACCTCCTTCCCTCCTGGGTACTTGTAGAACACCTCCATCCCTCCTGGGTTCTTGCAGAACACCTCCATCCCTCCTGGGTTTGTGTAGAACACCTCCATCCCTCCTGGGTTCTTGTAGAACACCTCCATTCCTCCTGGGTTCTTGTAGAACACCTCCATCCCTCCTGGTTTCTTGTAGAACACCTCCATCCCTCTTGGGTTCTTGCAGAACACCTCCATCCCTCTTGGGTTCTTGCAGAACACCTCCATCCCTCCTGGGTTCTTGTAGAACACCTCCATCCCTCCTGGGTTCTTGCAGAACACCTCCATCCCTCCTGGGTTCTTTTACAACACCTCCATCCCTCCTGGGTTCTTGTAGAACACCTCCATCCCTCCTGGGTTCTTACAGAACACCTCCTTCCCTCCTGGGTTCTTGTAGAACACCTCCATCCCTCCTGGGTTCTTGCAGAACACCTCCATCCCTCCTGGGTTTGTGTAGAACACCTCCATCCCTCCTGGGTTCTTGTAGAACACCTCCATCCCTTCTGGGTTCTTGTAGAACACCTCCATCCCTCCTGGGTTTGTGTAGAACACCTCCATCCCTCCTGGGTTCTTGTAGAACACCTCCATCCCTTCTGGGTTCTTGTAGAACACCTCCATCCCTCCTGGGTTCTTGCAGAACACCTCCATCCCTCCTGGGTTCTTGTAGAACACCTCCATCCCTCCTGGGTTTGTGTAAAACACCTCCATCCCTCCTGGGTTTGTGTAAAACACCTCCATCCCTTCTGGGTTCTTGCAGAACACCTCCATCCCTCCTGGGTTCGTGTAGAACACCTCCATCCCTCCTGGTTTCGTGTAGAACACCTCCATCCCTCCTGGGTTCGTGTAGAACACCTCCATCCCTCCTGGGTTCTTGTAGAACACCTCCATCCCTCCTGGGTTCTTGTAGAACACCTCCATCCCTCCTGGGTTCTTGTAGAACACCTCTATCCCTCCTGGGTTCTTGTAGAACACCTCTATCCCTCCTGGGTTCTTGTAGAACACCTCTATCCCTCCTGGGTTCTTGTAGAACACCTCCATCCCTCCTGGGTTCTTGTAGAACACCTCCATCCCTCCTGGGTTCTTGTAGAACACCTCTATCCCTCCTGGGTTCTTGTAGAACACCTCCATCCCTCCTGGGTTCTTGTAGAACACCTCCATCCCTCCTGGGTTGTTGTAGAACACCTCCATCCCTCCTGGGTTCTTGCAGAACACCTCCATCCCTCCTGGGTTTGTGTAGAACACCTCCATCCCTCCTGGGTTCTTGTAGAACACCTCCATCCCTTCAGGGTTTGTGTAGAACACCTCCATCCCTCCTGGGTTCTTGCAGAACACCTCCATCCCTCCTGGGTTCTTGTAGAACACCTCCATCCCTCCTGGGTTCTTGTAGAACACCTCCATCCCTCCTGGGTTCTTGCAGAACACCTCCATCCCTCCTGGGTTCTTGTAGAACACCTCCATCCCTCCTGGGTTCTTGTAGAACATCTCCATCCCTCCTGGGTTCTTGTAGAACACCTCCATCCCTCCTGGGTTCTTGCAGAACACCTCCATCCCTCCTGGGTTCTTGTACAACACCTCCATCCCTCCTGGGTTCTTGTAGAACACCTCCATCCCTCCTGGGTTCTTACAGAACACCTCCTTCCCTCCTGGGTTCTTGTAGAACACCTCCATCCCTCCTGGGTTCTTGCAGAACACCTCCATCCCTCCTGGGTTTGTGTAGAACACCTCCATCCCTCCTGGGTTCTTGTAGAACACCTCCATCCCTTCTGGGTTCTTGTAGAACACCTCCATCCCTCCTGGGTTTGTGTAGAACACCTCCATCCCTCCTGGGTTCTTGTAGAACACCTCCATCCCTTCTGGGTTCTTGCAGAACACCTCCATCCCTCCTGGGTTCGTGTAGAACACCTCCATCCCTCCTGGGTTCGTGTAGAACACCTCCATCCCTCCTGGGTTCTTGTAGAACACCTCCATCCCTCCTGGGTTCTTGTAGAACACCTCCATCCCTCCTGGGTTCTTGTAGAACACCTCTATCCCTCCTGGGTTCTTGTAGAACACCTCTATCCCTCCTGGGTTCTTGTAGAACACCTCTATCCCTCCTGGGTTCTTGTAGAACACCTCCATCCCTCCTGGGTTCTTGTAGAACACCTCCATCCCTCCTGGGTTCTTGTAGAACACCTCTATCCCTCCTGGGTTCTTGTAGAACACCTCCATCCCTCCTGGGTTCTTGTAGAACACCTCCATCCCTCCTGGGTTCTTGTAGAACACCTCCATCCCTCCTGGGTTCTTGTAGAACACCTCCATCCCTCCTGGGTTTGTGTAGAACACCTCTATCTCTCCTGGGTTTGTGTAGAACACCTCCATCCCTCCTGGGTTGTTGTAGAACACCTCCATCCCTCCTGGGTTCTTGCAGAACACCTCCATCCCTCCTGGGTTTGTGTAGAACACCTCCATCCCTCCTGGGTTCTTGTAGAACACCTCCATCCCTCCAGGGTTTGTGTAGAACACCTCCATCCCTCCTGGGTTCTTGCAGAACACCTCCATCCCTCCTGGGTTCTTGTAGAACACCTCCATCCCTCCTGGGTTCTTGTAGAACACATCCATCCCTCCTGGGTTCTTGCAGAACACCTCCATCCCTCCTGGGTTCTTGTAGAACACCTCCATCCCTCCTGGGTTCTTGCAGAACACCTCCATCCCTCCTGGGTTCTTGCAGAACACCTCCATCCCTCCTGGGTTCTTGTAGAACACCTCCATCCCTCCTGGGTTCTTGTAGAACACCTCTATCCCTCCTGGGTTCTTGTAGAACACCTCCATCCCTCCTGGGTTCTTGTAGAACACTCTATCCCTCCTGGGTTCTTGTAGAACACCTCCATCCCTCCTGGGTTTGTGTAGAACATCTCCATCCCTCCTGGGTTCTTGCAGAACACCTCCATCCCTCCTGGGTTTGTGTAGAACACCTCCATCCCTCCTGGGTTCTTTTAGAACACCTCCATCCCTCCTGGGTTCTTGTAGAACACCTCCATCCCTCCTGGGTTCTTGTAGAACACCTCCATCCCTCCTGGGTTCTTGTAGAACACCTCCATCCCTCCTGGGTTCTTGTAGAACACCTCCATCCCTCCTGGGTTTGTGTAGAACACCTCTATCTCTCCTGGGTTTGTGTAGAACACCTCCATCCCTCCTGGGTTCTTGTAGAACACCTCTATCCCTCCTGGGTTCTTGCAGAACACCTCCATCCCTCCTGGGTTTGTGTAGAACACCTCCATCCCTCCTGGGTTCTTGTAGAACACCTCCATCCCTCCAGGGTTTGTGTAGAACACCTCCATCCCTCCTGGGTTCTTGCAGAACACCTCCATCCCTCCTGGGTTTGTGTAGAACATCTCCATCCCTCCTGGGTTCTTGCAGAACACCTCCGTCCCTCCTGGGTTCTTGTAGAACACCTCCATCCCTCCTGGGTTCTTGTAGAACACCTCCTTCTTGTAGGTCTCCAACATTTCTTCTCTGTAATTTGGATCATTCTCGTCCTCTCCTCCATTATCAATACTACTCCTCTGTCAGCGCGGCCCAGGGCAGCTGTGGCTACACGGTAGCTCATCACCACCGTTGTGTTGTGAAGCGCCTTGGGGGGTTGTAGAATCCTTAGAACGCGCTGTACAAAAACAGGTTATTTACCGTTGGTACAAAATGTTTTACAATGAATTTAAATCTAAAACGAATGAAAAGTGTTTCTGAGATATTTATTAATAAAAGTAAAAATAAGAAGTTTTGTTAACAAAGACGAAATGTAATAATAGTTGCTGCTGATTTATTTATTTAAATGGTTCAACTTTAAATCTGAAAGGACACATTCAAACTAATAAATACGTGTAATATTTAAGCTGTTCTACATTAATTATTAAGTAGAATAAACCTAAATAAAAACCATATCTTAGTTTTTTTTACTTTTAATGTTTTTTCACTATTTCTTTTCTAATTTTAACCAGAAAAACTTTTCTTTCATCTCAGTCTGAATCTTCAAATCTTCTGAAGGTTCTTCTTTCTTCTGAGTAAAGGTGGGACGTTTCTCCACGGCTCCAGATTAGGTTTAGATGATTCTATGTGAAGATTATGTGCCTAAAATAAGCCATAGACCCCCCCCCCCCCACTCCAGGCCAGCGGGGCATCAGCTCTACTCTTGGTCCCTCCAGAATATCAGTTATCCTTTTCACAGTGACCAATCAGGTAATGGGTGGGTGTGGCCACTAACAGCTTTACTTCTTAAAGGTTCATCATATAGAAATGAAGTAAAAACTGACATCCTGTGGTAGGATTGAGTTACTGCAGCCACTCTAAACAACTCTTTTACCGGCAGTCGTCAAATGAAACTTGTGGGCGCTGCGGCATTAGCTCGCCGGAGACACGGCACCCCCACTCTAACGTCCCTCCTTCCTTTGTTTTGAAAGGAGAAAAACTGACGATCCAGCAGCCAGCTGGATATGAAACACGTTTCAGTAGAACCGTCCTTCCAGAACGACTGAAACACCAGAGTCTTTTGGGATTTGTCACTGTGAAATTCTCTACATTCTTACATAACTCTAGAGCGACAGAGCCCTGAAGCAGCTTATTCTGGAGGGTACTGAAACTGAGACCAGAGAGACTTTAAGACTGTTAAAGTCCCAAAGGTTCTCCTTTAAAGCCTCAACTTCATGGAGGACAGAGGCTGCCGATCTTCACCAAAAACACAAATAATTGAAGAAAAAAATAATAATAATGAGGGTGGTCAGCGTTGTCTGTTTATTTCTTATTGATGTCATTAGTTTTGTATTTACTGATAATTGTGAATATTTTGGTTTCAGAGGATTTGACGCCGACAGACCTCAACAGAAACTTTTTGCCAAATCAAAGTACGACTTTGTAGCGAGAAACAACACGGAGCTGTCGGTTCTGAAAGATGAACTCGTTGAGGTGAGCAAGACTTTTCCACATGTTCAGATTTCAGCAGCGAGGTTGTGGCGCCTGAGTAAAGTTAGTCTGGCTTGAGTTTAACCCACAAAGGTCCAAAGTGGAGATGTGGTCCAAACTTCAAACAGAAATCTGCCGGCTCAAACTTAAACCTTCTGCACAAGTTTAAATGGGCAGTAGAACGTAAAGCAGCATTTTCCTGGTTGTTGATGAAAAAGACCGCTTGGGTGGTCAGATGTAGCCCACCAGAGTCAAAGCTGTGTGTGACCTGCTGTCTGTGTAAACTCCAGGGCTTGCTCAGCTGATCGCTGTAAACAGGAATTACTCTAGTCCTGTTTGACACCATAAACCAGATCGTTTCTCCTCACGCCTCTCTTATGCCAGCGCACTCAAAGTCTGACTGTAACAACTGTCTAGCATCCTTTCAGAATAAAATCAGAAATATCACCCTCATCTACTTCCTGCCCCCCATCCAACCCCCTCCCTCTCAACCATGGTCCATCTTTACTCCTGTAGATTTCCGGGACATGTGCCTCATTCAGAAACACATGAAAGCAACCTCACGCCCTGCTGATTTCAGTCCTGCTACCTTGTTCATCGGGATGTTTCACCAAACTCACCCATGCATTGTAGATTTTATTAATGCATCCCTACAATCTGGCTCTGAACCATCTGTGTTCAAACATGCAGTTGTTGAACCATCCTTAAAAACCAAGTCTGGACCCATCTGCCTAAAAACCGCAGACCCATCTCTAAACGAGCCTTCATCTCTAAAATATTGTAAAAGGTTGTGGCGGATCAGCTGATGACTTTTCTGGAACTACACAACAGTTCTGACAAGTTCCAGTCTGGTTTTGGTGAAAAGCGTTCAACAGAAACAGATTTGTTTAAAGTTTCCAGTGACATCATGATGGCTGCAGACAATGGGGAGTTCACAGTGCTAGTGATGTTAGATCTTTCTGCAGCTTCTGACTCTGTTGATCACAACACCTTAATAACAGACTTGGTGACTCGGTGGGGATCTCTGGAACTGGTCTAGACTGGTTTAGATCGTACCTTTCTAACAGAAGTTAGTGTCTGTAGAAACCACATCATGTCAGATTCTACCCATCTGTTCTGTGGGGTACCCCAAGGCTCTGTTTTGGGACCACTGTCGTTTCTGCTGCACATGCACCCTCTTGATAATGTCTCTTATCACCTATATGCAGATGATGTTCAGCTGTACTGCTCCTTTAAGGATTCTGAGTTCTATAAACAGTCTGAGTTACTAGAGTGTCTATCAGCGATCACCAGCTGGCTAGAAGAAAACTTCCTCCAGTTAAACTCTGAAAAAGACTGAATGTCTGATCATCGCCCCTGAGAGCATGGTTCCCCTGATTAGTCTAGTCTTGGTCATTTATCTTCTGTCAAGACAAACTTAAGGAATTTGGGTGTTTTTGACCATCAATGTCTCTTGAAGGCCACTCAAAAACGTTGGTCCGAAACTGTTTTTATAACTTAAGAAATATCTCCAAACTGAGAAGGTTGGTGTCCAAACATGAACTTGAAATGGTTCTCCATGCCTTTATCTCCTCCCGTCTAGATTACTGTAACACACTCTTCACATGCAGCGAGGCTTCTTACTGGAGCAAACACAAGAGCTCACATCACAGTGGGGACCTTGACTGTAGTTTAGTTTCTGCTTTCACTTGTCTCTCTTCAAGCCCCCCCAACGCGTGCGCGCACACACGCACACACACACACTGTCTGCTGATTCCCCGAGGTATGTCTGTCAGGTGCTCGACGACAGGAAGCAATGGTGGAAAGTTCGGAACGGTTGCGGGTGTGCTGGCTACGTGCCAAACAACGTCTTGGAGATCACAAAGGCCGTGGACATGACGAGTCGAGGAGAACCAGTCTACAGCCACACCATCCAGGTACGAGCACATCTTCATCACCTTCATCACCTCGCTCATCCTCACACTGCCAACTCATGTGGTCTCATCTTCTGTCTCCCATCATCTAAGCTCATGATGCCAAAGAAGGAGTTTGAGTTGTTTAAGGTAGGAAGAATCAGGCCCAGAACTGGGCTGAAGGCTTCCAAGCTTCTTTTTGACTTGCTGCGGTTTCCTTTGCTGTGGATCGTCTTAGAGGAGCAGTCGGGCTGGGACTTGGGCTGGCTGGTGGGCCAGGCGTCGGATCAGGATTTGGGCTAGGCTTCGGGTCAGGACTCGGGCTGGCTGGTGGGCCAGGCATTCGGTCGAAACTTGGGCTAGGCATCAGGTTGGGACTTGGGCTGACAAGTTGGCCAGGCATCTGGCCGGGACTCAGACTGGCCGTTGGGCCAGGCGTGGGGTTTGGAACTCGGGCTGACTGGTGGGCAAGGCATCATATCAGGTCTCAGGCTGGAAGTCAGGGGCTGGCTGGTGGCCCAGGCATTGGGTCAGGACTCGGGCTGGGCGTCAGGTAGGGACTTAGGCTGGCCGTTCGGCCAGGCGTCAGATCGGGACTCAGGTCAGGCATCTGGTTAGGACTCGGGCTGGGCATCGGGTTGACACTTGGGCTGGCCATTGGGCCAGACTTCAGGTCACGACTTGGTCCGGCTGTTGGGGCAGGCATCGGGTTGGGACTCGGGCTGGGTGCCGACCAGCTGCTTCCAGGTTTCCGTCCTGCCTTCACTGTGGATCATCCTAGAGGAATAGCACCCCGTTCTGGGAGTCTTAGTGGATTATCTGTCGGTTTACTTGTGGAACTACACCAAATGTTTAAGGTGTTGCTTCATCAATGAGCCGTGGGTCGGACCCAACGTTCTCTTAAGTTTTGGGCCGAATGCCAGACTGTTCCTTTAAGAGCTGAGAGTAGAACCTGAGTAGAGCTGAGTAGGTGAGTTAGTAGCAGATTAAAGGTGTTTCTTTCTCTCTCCGTTTTTGGTTTGGTTCAGCAGCAGTTACTGGGAGAGCTAAACGAGGTAAACCAGCTATTTGTGTCTGAACAGATGCTTTATTTCCTGTTTAGATGTCTGAAAGCTGCGTGTTGTTCACTAGTTTAATTCCCTGCTGATCCTGCTCATTCATCTCCTTGGGTGTTTTTCATTGTCAAGGCGCCTAGCCTCCCTAGGCGATGTCTTGCAAGGCCAGGCGCCTAGCTTACGAGGACGCTGTCCTTCCTTGGTCAAAGAAAACGGTAAAATCAAATAGTCTTCGGCTTCGGTTTCCTCAGCGGTCATGACATGTGGCGTAATGTTATATTTTATTTGTTTAAATTTCAATATTAATGTATACCTTTTACTTTTTAAATTGTGTATGTATCAGTTAAATAAATATGTAAGCGGGTTGCTACCTGCTAGCCTCCGAAGCTGCAACTACTAAGCAACTAACCAGCCATAGATAACTTCTTTAGATCTAAAAAATATTTCAGATATCAGCCCGATAGCTGACTTACATTTAAACTTGAAACTTTTCCCCGAAGGCTCCTGATCCGCCATCCTTTTGAAAATACAGCGCGGGAAACCTTTGACCAAGGCTAGGCTACAAGGCACCTCCCGTGTATCCTCTCTCAGCTAGCTAAACCACTAACAAATGGAGAACAAACGCCTCGGCAGAACATTGACATTGGAACACGCCTTGGCGGGTCCTGATGACGTATGTCCTAGGCAACAGGGGCGGGGCCAAGACATCAAGGCAACGGTCCTTGACATTGAGAAACACCCCTCATCTGTGTGTTTCACTTCCTGGTTTTAGTCCCACTTTCCTCTGATTGGCCGGTTTCTGGATGCCGGCTGTTGCTGTGAGCATGCCCAGTTTGTTGCAGATGGAACACAGAAAAGTCCCTGAACAACCCACTTCTGTAGAACTTTTATGTTCTTTCCTCTCATTCTGGTTTCTATGGAAACTATTTTATAATCAAAGAACTGACCAAGAATACTGTTTGAATGAAAAATCTAGATGGGGCTGTATGTGAAAGGACGGCCATTTTTAGTCAATTAAAAGTATTCAGATGAACAGTTGGAAAATGACGACAATTCCAAAACAATCTAAAAATTCCCTCCTCCAAATAAGCTGTTTAAAGATAAAGTCAATAATTAAAGTTATATCCAGTAAAACACAAGCCTACTGTGTACGCCTTTAAAGACCAAGTTCACAGAAAAAACATTCTTTAATGATTATGTCTGATTCTAACGGGTCACTCTTAGTGTCTCATATAGGCTGAACATGAAAATAGTCTCCTACACCTATCTCCCGCATCAGCTTCTGATAGAAAACAGACGGTGAAACTCTAGGATAGAAAATCCTGACAGATCTACGTCACCCTGTCACTAACATTCATGGACCCACCCATCTGGACTCACGACGGGGAAGGCTGTTGATGGTTTAGTCCAGGAAACAGCAGAGAACATCTCAGCTAGTAGAAGCTAACTGTTAGCTTTAGCAACTCCACCACACAGCAGAACTCCTCCAGGCTTGTGTTATTTGTGGAGATAACTTAGCTGTGCTTGTTAGTTTATTTTAGCTTTTTTAGATCATTTGTCTTAATTTTATCCTATTTTAGTGTTGTTTTATTAAAATGTTTGGCTTTTAGCTTCAGTTTTATTTGTCTTAATGTTTATTTTGTGGGCCCCTGCATGGGTCAGTGATGTATTAAATTATTTTATGCATGCACAGTGCTCTGGTTTACCTCCTAGCTGATGAAAAGCACGTTTTAATTAAAGTTGATGATGATCAGTGGTAGTTGTGTTGCTGTCAACCAATCAGAGAGATGTCCACATATCAGCAAATCAGACTCCAGATCCTGCCTTCTACAGCTCACTCCTCTGACTGTCTTCTAGCTCCTGAAGCATGAGCGCCAGAGCATTTTCCCCACAGAGATTGACTTACAATCTATCATTTATGCCACCGGAGATGTGTTGGAAAAAACAAGTGAACGTGGTCTTTAGGACCAGTTTCAGGCCAAAATATCCATTTTTGTTCTCATCCTTATTTATTCTGGCTTTAGTTTGTTTTCCAGCTGTTTTTCATTTTTGGCCTTAACTACCGAGTGGAAATCAGCAGGTACAGAAACGATACCAACACTCAGACATTGTGCTGTCCTTAATCTAACTGACAGTACTGTAGGTGGTCACTTTTAATAAATCTTCAAAAAATATAAGTATTCAATAAAATGTTATATTCCATAAAAATATGGATTATCAATATTATTGAGCCTTTAATGTTCCACTGATGATGAAACAACTCTTTATAATAATTTGACAAAGCGACAAAAATATAGTTTATAAAAATCAGTTTATTACTATATTTCTACCACTGCTGATGATGAAGGACCAATGATTATAAAGACCTCTGATGAAACAAGACCTTAGATGTTTTTGAGAGCCCAGTTCAGGGACTCAGAAAGGTGTGATGTCTGGGTTTGTAAAATAAAACTGGCTGAATGTTTAATAAGGTTTAACAGGTTATCACATTAATCCTAACCCATCCACCACCAGCGCAGAGCTACGATACCCGTGTGTGGAGGCTTCTCGGCAATCCGGCTAGCCGGAAACAAGAAGTTTGACTGCTGGATGTCAGAGGCCGTATTCCTCTGAACCCAAAGGGTCTGCAGGTGGACCGTTTCACATGTGATGTGTTGTTTTGCAGATAAAAACAAATAATAATTGGTTGTTTCTGAAAAAATATGGTTCTTATGCCACTCAAATTATTCCACTGAAAAATCTGGCTTGGTTTCCCAAAGGGTGGTGATTTAGCGTAAACTGGAAGCGTTAGCAGGAACTGCCGAATAGAGGAAGTGTTTTAAGGGTTTGTTGTTTCTAAGTTTTGGAACAACCGGATTAAAGAATTTTTAGTGGGTGTTTTCAAAGAGTCCTCAGACCTCCCCTTTTCTCAGACACTTAAACACATTTACGTCACCTAGCATGTGACGTAAATGTGTTTAACAGTCATTAGTTAATATACCGGTATTAATATGTGACATAACTGATAATAAATCATTATTAAATCATCAAATAGACTCATTTGGTGTAATTAAGATCTGAAATAAGGCATTTCAAGAATAAACATTTGTGTAGATTCATTCAGTACTGTAAAGCAGTCAAGACGTTATTAAATCACTTTAGATGAAACATGACTTGTAGATAATGTAGGACATGATTGTAAATAACTTGTAAAGTCAGGAAATCATTTATAAGACAAAATAAGATTATTAAAGTGTAGTTTTCACCATTAATCTCTGAAAGTATCCATTGAAATGTTGTAAACGAATTAAAAGATGCCCACTTGAATAATATTGTCGGTTTCAAAACATATAACCCTATAAATCTTTTCTAAAATACATGGCAGCACTTCCAAGTCTCTGGGTGACGCCTTATTAGAGTCCATGTTTCCTTCTACGGGAGCCTGTGAGGACAAAATGCATTTACTGACTTGTAACGAACTTTCACCTTTAATGAACGTTGTTGTTTTAGACATTTACCTCTTCACTCGTTGCCAGTGATGAAAGGGAATCTGATGATCTTGTTATTTTGCTGGGAGGTTGTGCTCTCGGGGATTTTTGACCTTAATGGCCATCCGTTGGTACGGTCTTACCTGATCACTAAAATAATGCCTTCCTGCAATGATTTAGGTATCTCGTCTTGTGAAGAACCTCGTGCTTCTCAGATAACGAAGCGAGAGAGAACTGGTTACGATTGCATCTCCAGATGTGGAGTTTAGAGAAGGAGGCTGGATGAAGAAGCACCCCACATTACTGGCAGAAGACTCGCCGGCACTTCAATGTCGGTGAACTCTGACCTCTAACATAAAAGTCTTTGTTACGCTACAGCGATTTTCGTGTCACTTTCATTTCTAAAATAAAAATAAACATTTAACATAATTTGTGAGATTTTCATATATTTTTATGAATATTTAGTTGAAGTTGCCCGGTGTTACGTCTATCGTTTTGTGGTGTGTTCATTTTTCTTTTCATTTATTTCTGTTTTGATGCGACATCATCCTCTTGATTTCCGTTCTGTCAAAGTGGATAAAGCTCCGGTGGAGGATTGGAGGACTTCCCTATCAGGGCAGTGGTGGGTGGGGTGTGCGTGGACAGTGGGGATCCCCGGAGCTTTAAGACTGTGGTTGTGGCAGCGGTTACACTGAGATTTTGTTCTCTCCAACCGGTGTCGGTACAAGATCGGCTCAGGGTCCGTCGACTGCCGATGACGTCAAAGTAGTTGATTGGCTGAACATGAACCTTATGGAAGTTACGTAATCACGTTACGTTGGTCCAGGCAAATGTTTCTGTTGGAAAGATGGACAACTTTTACAAAGAAATCCATCATTACCTCTTTGAAAATAGACTTTTAGCATAGAGCTGCATGTATATTAGGGCTGAACGATTAACTGCATGTGCAATTAAATTGCGATGTGACAAAAGGAGATTTTCTAATCGCAAAGGCTGCTATTTGGCAGCGAGTGGTTAGCGCAATGCTAATATACATGGAAAAACCCATAGGAATGCTAATGCTAACATCACCGATTACATTCTTACAAATTATGAATTAGAAACGTGCCAAATGATTACATTTGGAGTCTAATAGAAAGTAAAACTACCATCAATCAAATAAGTACAGACAGGTATTTTAGTAACCAGCTAAAAACTAGCTCAGTGGCACTGGCTTAGTGGTAGTGTCCGCCCTGAGACTGGGAGATCAGGGTTCAGTTCCTGGTCGGGTCATACCAAAGACTTAGAAAAAAATGGGACCCAATGACTCCCTGCTTGACACTCAGCATTACGGGGTTGGATTGGAGGTTAAAACAAATTTTGCACACACATCAGTGTGTGTGACTGTCGCGAGCCCGTCCTATTTGTCGGTTCCTTTAAAACCTGGTTCTGTTAGAACTTATAAGACTGCGCTGCGTTCTCAGGGTTCATGGGGATGTCGGTGAGTTTTATTGTACTAGACCCTGGTTTGGACTTCCTCAATTAGAATCAGAT